TGGCTACAAACCAAAGGGCGGATGCTCCCGGGTGTGGATCTCTCCTATGCTGTTGAAGCGTATGTCTAGGCTTGAAGGGTCTTGTCGCATCCCAAAACAGCTGCTCGAATAAAATGTGGTGGCAGTAAGTGCATCACCGAGGAAGATGAAGATCGTCACAATGCAAAAATCGCGGTGGAGACACGGAATGCCAGCGTAGGAGTCTTTTCGCATGTGTACCGTCCAAGTTCCACATTGTGATGTGCGTGAGTAGCCAGTTGCGATTTCTCAGCCTAAACCCAGCAGCCTAAATCCGTGCATGGGGGCCTGTTTCCATACGGGCTCCTCGGGAATGGGCTGCATGCGAGCTAGACTGGGTCCATGTCTGCGGATCTGCGAACGAGTTCCACCAGGAGCTGATTCATGTATGCAGGGATCATTTGACAGTGGTGATGCTTCTGACTTCCCAGATTCTAGTTACCACAACGGTTGACTTCTGAGGAAGACCAAGTTGTTTTCCGGGCATCGGCCTTCTTGATGCCCAGACTAGCCGGCAGAAAGCCAACAGCGACTACCTGGAGATTGTCAAGAATGTGGTCACGGACTGTGGCTTGCAGAAGTCCGCCGTTTGTTTGGTGGCAAAGCCACGCCTGGACTTGCCCTAATATGGGACCCCAAATAATTACCAAGACTATTCTGGGGCTTCCTTGTTATGTCTACTGCTCTAATTAGTAAGGCTCCTATATGGTTTAGGGGTTAAGCTTGAGGATGGCTTAGGGCTTATTAGGGTTTGATTTAGGATGGTTTAGGGTTTCGGGTTATTTCGGAGGGTTGAGGGCATACCGGTTTTGGGATGGTTTAGGGTTTAGGGGGAGGAAACCCACGGGCCTGTGCCATCAGCGCGATTCTGGATAGCAGAAATACACTTGGCGTTCTTCTGGTTGGCTCTTAGGACTTTAACCTTTTTGGTTTCTATATGAACTATAACAAGGAGGGTAAAAGTTTAACTTTTTGGAGGGGTTCAGAAGTCAGCCAAGTACAATCGCACCCGAAGTATGCGAGGGTTTCCGGCCAGACACAGATGCAAACGAGATCATGCCCTAAATAGAACCCTAAGGTTTAAGGCCTTGTAAGCCTAAGCAACCCAATACAAAGTGCCGGAAAATTTGTTCGAATTATGAGAAAGTGCACTTAAATTGGAAGTTGCATTTCATCTAGACCTCGTTGTTCCACTTCAGGACATCTCGGCGCGCTTTTGTGGGAAAGGCCGTGCGAGGGTTTACGTTTCAGAGTTGTAGGTTCAGGGCCTTTAGGATTTGGGCTGGTCCAAATACGACGTCATCACATACTCACCGACATCCCAACCGAAACAAAGCTTAATCACATGGTGCAATCGTCATGTGTGCTGGCATCTACCAGGTCCGCTGCTTCAAAGAATGGTGAACCCAAGTACCTAATCGTGAGGTACCATGGACCCTTAAGAAGACTTTTATCGCACCCCACAAGACCCCGAATGAGTAGCTACTTTGAGCTTGTGGGGCTGAAGTATTGCTCAGATCAGGTTCAGGTTTACAACCGATGATACGCTGAAGGGTTACTGGGTAGTTGTCAAAATTAGGGTCCTTTTTTGGGTCCTTAATATATTACGGCAGCTAGTATTTAGGGTGCCCAAAAGGGGGACCGTAATTTTGTCAACCACCCTTGCCCAGGGCGCTCTAGCAGTTGAGGCGTACAGGACGGAAGGCTTCGGGCCAGGCTTCGGGCATGCATGGTTCCTTTCAGCCCAGAGACTCCCATATCCCTTAATTAGGGAATATTCCTTAAATCATTTTAGGGATCCTACTATAATTTAAGGTGCATTCCTTAATTAAGGGATATTGGAGTCTCTGGGAGGTTTACCTTCACCATATGGGAGTTTCCGAATTAGGGGGTACCTTGTAAAACTTTGGGGTCCTCATGATAAGGATTCTAGTATTTAGGGTACTATATTAGGGTCCCCTATTTTCGGAAATCCCCATATTATGGTCTAGGGTTCAGGGCCACCATATATGAGGAGATCATTCTGATGTCCAGGTCGGTCTTAGGTTTATAGGCATGGCTGGGGCTCAGGAGGCTAGGCTTGCTCCATCTGCATCTCCGGACTCTACACTTGCTTCTAGGCCCATCCTGTTTTGGAATCCCGAAACCCCAAACCCAGAATGAGATTTCAGAGCCTCTCGCAGCACCTGCCATCCTACTGTGCTTCTTTTTGTCATGGCGATTTATATAAGGCTATAGACTTAGTAGCTGACCCTTTGGGGGATGATATTACCCCTTACAAAACTGAAAGTGTACACCTCTGTGAGCTTATGAACTCAGCAAGTAAGTATAACTTGGATGGTGCGGCGGCGTCCTTCAGGCTTCACGGTCTGCGGTTCGTTGGGCTCAGGGAGGATGGGGAGGAATCCAATGCTCTTACTCTAGGGTTGGATTGTCATGAAGGGTATGTTTGGGACCCTGGTATAGTACCCTAAGTAGTAGGATCCTTATATGGGTGGTTGTCAAAATTATGGTCCCTTCTTGGGTACCCTAAATAATAGGTGCCGTATTATAACAAGGACCCAAAAAGGGACCCTAATTTTGACAACCACCCATATATTTCGACAAGGAGAACGTTGTTTGAAGATTGGGAGCTCTACCAATGCGTACCCACAGTTTAGGAATTTGAGGGTTAAGGGTTGTAAGTTTTAAGGGTTGGGGTTTAGGGTGTCAAGGGCTTAGGGTCTGGAGTAGAGGAGTTTGCTTAACACTCCAACTGCAGAAAGAATGATTGCGGGCCAGTTGGAGTGTGCTAGGTCATTTTCCTCAACCCCGCCCTCAAATAGTCTCGGGACATCCTGAAACACCCTTTAAACTTTAAACTCCAAGTGCTAATGAACCCATAGATGTTTCGCAGAGGTCCACGTCGTGAGAGGCACGTGAGACTTCCGATGTTTGGGAATGGGTAGGCCCCTGCAGCATATACTTATTCAAGGCTTCTTGAGTCTCGGAATAAGCCTTAACCCCAAACCGTTCATGCCTTGCAAGTTCCTTGCCGTTAGTTCGGCCCTTCATTGGAGAGGACTTGGTCGGGCGGATACATGGGAGTTTCCGAAAATAGGGGACCCCAGTACAGTACCCTAAGTAGTAGGATTGTCCGAGTGTGAGCGCCGAAGTAGTAGGATTCTTATTGTAATGACCCCCCAGAATAAGGTACCCCTATTGTCGGAATGGGCTTGCGGTTGTTTTGTGAGGTTGCGAAGTTCCTGGAGTTTTTGAAGCTTTTTTGGTCATGACGATTATGATGGCTCCCATCGCATGATGTCTTTTTTAATATGATGAATACGAGTATGACATACGAATATACATAAAGGTGCACGCATACATAGGTCCACACACACACACACACACACACACCTAACTTACCGCGTGCTTTTCTGCAGGTTTATCCGGTTTGGAGGCTTTCGCATTGATTTCGGGCGCTTCAAGAACTTTGGGTGGGAGGATAAGGGGGTGGGGGGTAGGGCTGATTTCGTTCTGATTCCACCAATTCTGTGTGAAACATGAGCTCTGAAGCCACGATTGCCAGCAAAAGTCAACACAGTGCTACTTTGTCACTGTTGGGTAACATTTTACATTGTATAGGTACTTAAACCCAATAAGGGATAAAAAGTACATTCTTAATCCTATCCCAACAATGAACTAGGCTACTGTAGCGGTTTTGGGAAGCCCGAAGATCTGGAAGGAAGAAAGACCGGCTCTGAACCCATGCCGCAGCCAAGAGTCAAAACCGTGCAGATATGCCTGTGAGACGGCATTCAGGAGCCATGTAGAGAAATAATGCAACACCCTAAGGTGTCTAGGCTATGGCTCCTCAGGCAAATCTTCACTGTCTTGACTTTTGCTGGCAGGTGAACCCGGCATCACACAACCCCGGCGGTAACTTAAGGACGTGTGACCACATAGGTTCATACATGAAAGCACACATACATACATTCATAAGTACATACAAACTCACATTCATACCACATAGGCACATGCATGCACAGATTCATTCATACATAAGTACGTTCATACCTCCATACCTGCATGCATACAACCTACCTACCTATATACCTATACACACATGAATACTTACGCACAAGCATACCCGCATGCCTACCTACCTACCTACCAACCTACTTGCCTATCTATCCACCTATCTAGCTATCTACATGCACCTAGACACACACAGACATGTAGAGATAGATAGTTACATGGATACATGATACACAGACAGAGTGTGAAACGTGTATACGTATGTATGTAGGTAGGTAGGTATGAATGCATGGATGGATGGATGATTGGATGTGCATACGTGTGTATCTGTGTGTATGTGTGATTATGTACGCGTGCATGCAAGTACGTCAAAGTACGTATTTGTTTATGTATCTATGCATACCTGTCTGTAGACATATGTTTGTGTGTGCCCACACGGTCTGACCGTATACATGTATGTGCAAATCTGTACACATACATATACACAGACATAATGTGTGTGTGTACATACGTACATATATAAATATATGTGCATATACTCATATACGTATTTGATTCTCCAGTTTCGGCATGCATTCCCTGTCTTCTGCAGGCTGGCCCTTGACATGTGATTGGATTTGTGCATTGTACGAAGCCCGTTAACCTTCTTGGGGACCTACTGTAACCCAAGCCTTACCACAGCCTTGTGCCTCCTTGGTCCCATGTTTGCTTTCCTTGAGGTCATTTGGCTCACAGCAAAGATGATGCTGCCACCGAGTAGACCGTTTATGCCCATGGGGGGGCCGATGGGCGGCCCCATGAACCCAATGGGCGGGCTGCCAGGAATGCCGTCGATGCCTCAACCCGGCACCGTGCCCGGCGTCCTTCCCCAGCCCGGGCTTCCCCAGGCGATCCTGCCTCAACCAGGCCTGCCCGGCCCTGGCATGTGCCAGGGCGCCCCGGGGACCCTTCTCCCACAGCCTGCTATGGCCCAGACATTGCCCACACCGCAGTTGCCTGGAACGGTTCCGCAGCCCTTTGCTGGCGTCGGCGTCCTGCCGCGACCGCCTATGAATCCAGGTATGTGCGCCAATATCATGCCTCCTAGATGCTTGGAGCGAACTTTTGAAAACCACTGCTCGTAGCAAGAAGACCGATCGGGTGGTTTGCCTGCTCTCCGGCCAGGCCTAGCAGAATAGCCAGTAACGGTTGCATTCTGTTTTTGAGACGACGTGTTTGCTTTCTGCAGCTCCATTTTCCTGGGAACAGCAGCTCGAGAGTCCGAAGCAGCAGTGCGAGATGAACGAACTGCATCTGCTAATCTTAGGGGTGCTTATAAATTGTTTTAAGTTTTTGGTTCCTATAAGCCCTAAGAAGCAGCTAAAATCACATTTTTGTTAGGGGTCTAAAGTCAGTATAGCAATGGGAGTCCGGAGCCATCAGTTACCAGACCCAGAAGCCCTAAATCAGTTCGCAGGCCCCAGGAAGTTCTAGACAATTGTCGCCCCGGCTGTTGAAACCATAAACTAATGTGCCCAGACCCCGAAAACAGACCTCAACCCGCCCAAAAAACCTTCACACCTTGGGGACCTAGAAGCCCCAAGCCTCAATGCATGCATAAACCTTGTACCCATCACGTCTAGCTCCTCAGGAATGGTCAGAGAGACATTAGCAACAGCCGGATATGTATGACGATAAGGCAAAACAGCCATACCCTGAAGCCATCGCGCTTGAACCCTAAGCCTTACACATCCCTCAAGCGTATGAGGACCTATAACTACAGTAATCATTTCAGGACCACTGCAGCCCATGCCGCCGATGGGAGCGGGCATGCCGGGTGGCTGTCCTGCCCCCCGTCCCATGGGCCACTTAGCACTCCCCTCTCCCTACAAGGACTGGTTCGAAAGGGTAGGGCTTACTTCGATTGCCCGGACCCCTGGAAGGATCCAAAACGTAGATAGCTCAATGGGGGTTCCTAAAGTACCCTTAGTAGTATAGGGCCCCAAATTAGGGGATCTACTTTCTAGATCCTCCCGGGGGTCTGGGTACGGGTTCTAGGTGTTGGGGCATGTTGGGCGTTCGGCTTTGAGGTTTTAGGCAGTGTGGGGCTCTGCACGCATCCCAAGAACCAGACGATTTTAAAAGAAGCCCATCAGGAAGCTACATCAAGCCCTGCTAGTCTCCGAGCCACTTTACGGGGGGGTGCTCCGGTGGCCACATGCAGCATACGTAGTCTGTAGGTACAGTGAGGTTCCCCTCTGCACTGGGCTCACCAACCCAAGACCCCACAACCTCACACAAATACACACGCACACATACACACACACACACACACAGACACACACAGACACACAGACAGACACACAGACACACCCGCACCCACACACGCCTCAAATAGCCCAGCCTTGCTTACACATCCCAAATCCAAGCTTCAGGCATGCCAACCCTAATCTCCACGTGCTACCTGTGCCGACCGTACCCTGAACTCTCTAGTATGGCTCTGCTTGTACCCACAAGGCCTACATTTTCCAGTGTTCCTTGTGGAGGGTCGCGTAATTTGGGCTGTTAGGTAGACCCTACCTGCAGTCACCATTGTAGTTCTTTTTTGGTTCAGCCAGTGTTGTATTTGGGATCCTATGACGAGTTACCCCCCAAAATTGAACTATGATGGAGCCCATAGGCACCACACTACGCCCTAAACCCCAAACCCTAGACCCTACGTTTGATGATATAAACCCTGCATTACCCATAATGAGGAATGTATCGCAATTCTGGTAAATATTCATTATTGTGGGTAATGCAGGACTTTTATCATGAGCCGCACTGCACCCTAAACCCTAAACCCCAATCCCTGGACCCTACCACGCCGAATTCCCGAAGGAGCCCTCATTGCCTCCTCGACCACCGGCCGGCTCCCTGCCACAGCAGCTGGCGCAGCTTGCAGCAGCGGGTTCGCCGCAGGAGACAAGAGCATGCAGAATTCACTTGGAGGTTCATGGGTAGTTATAAGTGGGGTTATAAGTCCTCTAGTATAGGTTATTAGTACAGTAACCCTACTTATAGCTACCCATGAACCTCCAAGCAGAATCACATGGTTTAGGGGTTGGGCGCTTCGAGCTTCGAGTTAATAGGGTTTACGGAAGTATAGTAGAATGTGGCAGATCCTGACATCGATCCAAACTGTGAACTACCAGAAGGAGGAATGAGTATACAGTATACCGGCACAGACTTGTTGGTTCTTGAGTTTGAAGGGCTTTGGGGTGTAGGCTTCAGAGTCGCTGACATACCCTGACCCTGTCCACCACTTCGACAGCATTTGGTCCAGATGCTCGCTTCGCCGCTGGGATCCCTGATCAAACCGGATGATTCTTCGTGGACACTTCGACGAAATCGTTGGGGTGGGATAGTCCTTGAACTCCAGTGTGGATGTGTCCAAGGCTTTTGGTCTGCATCGGAGCCCTGCGACTCCTTGCACAGCCGTTCTACGGATGTTTTGGACAGTGAGAAGATGTGCTCGCTGACCCTGAAGCTTCTGTGCACATCGTAAACACTCAGCCCTACTGAGAAGGTCAAAAAAACACTACACGAAGACATGTTCCTGAGTAGTACCCTTTGCTCCTTTTGTTTTGGGGTCTCCTCATTAGAACAGAAAACTAGAAAACAAAGTCACCCGTGTTATTCAGGGGCTACTGGCGAACCTAGCAGAAATGAGTTCAGCGACGGGTCTGAATGAGTTCAGGTTGTATCCCGTGGTAGCCGTAGCCCCTGCTAACTGTACTAGACGATGATACGCCCATAAATCTTACTATAATTATTCTGGTGAAGCCTTAAACAAGTCTGATGAAGCTTTTTAAACCCTAGAGAGCGTTCGCAACCTGTTTGTAAGCACTTAGAAACCCTATTCCGATAGTTAGTTAAGACCGTTATGTTTCACCTCGCGGCTTGGGCTTCGGTTTCAGGAGATACCGGAAATACCGGAGATAGAGCCAAGATTGGATACATTACAGGAAGGTACGCCAGAAAGTTGCGGTTTTATTTATCGTTTGGTATAACACCGCACAGGGTATGTATACAAGGTCTTACTCGGGTTTTCCAAGGTTTAGTTTTATGGAGGTGTGCATGCTCCTTAGGGTTCCGTGGTTTCAAGATAGAACAGAAAGCTCCCAAACCCAGTTGTAGGCATTCAGGCTCCGGGGGCCTGACGGTGTAGGGTCCACAGGATTTAGGTCAGTCAAGTGCTTACGGAGAAATGTCGAGGCTCGAGAGTCATGGCCTGAAGCTGCAGGCATTGAGGGGTTTAGGGAGGTTTAAGGTGTCAAACGAGAAGGCTCTGCTGTTGAGGAGTGTTCGCTGGCACACAATCCAAGCCCATGCTGAAAAGGGTTCAGTGACTTAGACGAGAGCCGGGTGTACGAAGGAGCCCTTGAAAGGAGCCCTTCTAGTAACCCTTTAAAGGAGCCCTAAGGTACCCCGAAGTTTCGGAAACTCTACACCCTAAGGTCCCGTTAAGGAACCCTTGTAATCTCACAAAAAGCTTGCTTAGTAACCCGAGCCCGAGCCCTTGAGGAGTTTGTAGCTGTAAGCTCTCCTTTACTCTGTGCCGATGTGAAGCACGGGTTGGCGGCTGGACACTGGTCGGAGGTGTTGACCTTTCCGTCGACAACCTACGTCCCGGATTCAAAAAGATGAACCCACAGGGTCCAAAGTATTTAATATTGTAGAATGTAGGGTATACTAGGGAGAGGTATTCCCTGCAGTACCCCAGGACCCTTTGGGAAAGGAAGAGGAAGCAGAAGCAGGGAGACTCAACTGGTTGCCTTTGCGCCACTCTGCCGTGATTGTCAGCTGCTAGTGCCGACCAGTCGAAGTACTTCGAAACCGAAACTTCGTCAGGCTAGTCCGAGTTGCGAGAGCGTAAACCCCAAACCGTGGCTGACCACATGTTGAGAGACATTGCCTGGCGAAGTCCCAGTCGGGAGATGAGTCCCTAGAGGCTCCAAAGTACTTCCTTTTTGGGGTTCATATATAGAATCCTATAAGGTAATCCCCACAAGGAACTACTATGGAGCCTATGGGTAAGGCCCTAAAAGCCCCCTACACAGTACAGCTCTGTCAGAGCCCGAAAGGCCCAAAAAACTGCTTGGTACCCCGAAGTCTGGGACTTCTTTGTGTAAAATCCTAAGCCTAAACCCTCAAACCCTAAACCTTTTACCCTTGAACTCTAAGCTTTCTAGGGATTTGCCGCTTCGGGTTCAGGCGTAGGGTTTCAGGGAAAACACCCTTAAACCCTAAACCCTCAGCAAATCGTCGAACCTACTTCTGCAGACCTTGCCAGGCTTGTCCGAGCGTGGGTGTCAACAAAAACCTAGGCCGCAAAGACTTAGAAAGCCTAAATACCCGCTCTGGCCCTCGCGGAGGACCCCTCTCGTGGGCCATCAGATAGGAAGCCACAGCTGTACATGTTTCTTGGCTCTTAGGGGTTCTCGGGCTTTCGGATTTGAGGGTTCGCGGGTTTAGGGTTCAGGTTTTCGGCTTTAGGGCTTGGGGTCTAGGTTTCGGGATGTTAGGGCTTTGGGGCGTTTACTTGTAGTCTCCTTTGTAGTTCCTGGTTTTGGCTCACCCAGTCTTACATCTTAAGGGCTTAAGATCCTATACGCGATAACCTCAAGAAGAAAATACAACGGAGACTAGAGGTATGGATTTCAGATTTTAGCATGTGGTCTAGGGTTGTACCAGGATCCCCCAATGGCCCTTGAATAGAGTCCTTTTGGTCCTTAGTATATAGTGGGAATCTCTGGGGAATAATAAAGGGTAAGGTTACAGAAGGACTCAGCGTCAAGGGCGTGGGACTTGACGGGGTTCGGGTCTCGGGTTTTGGAAGCTTTGAGGCTCAATATGGGAGTCTCACTTAAATAATCAATACTATTTCTTTTGGGGGGGGGTCCTTCGATTTGAAGGGTTCCTTGCAGGGGTCTATTCGGGATCTATAGTAGGGTTCTATGGTATAGGGGCCTTTATTTTTTCCAATACTATGTTGTTGTTATTGGGGGGGGTTAATTTCTAACTATCGTATCATATGCCCCAAAACCTTATTCCAATTATCAAGGCCCATATATTATACAGTACCCTTATGGATCCCTCACAGAAACCTTTCAGGGAACCCTTAAACGAGCCCGAAAACCAATTCTAATTATGAAGGCCCCTAAAGATCTCGCCGGGGCTGGCGTTGGCGGCGGAGGGTACGTAACAGATTGATTTGTATTCTGATTTGCGGCCCAAACTGGAGCATGCGGGCCCTGTGTCTTGAACCCTCTAAACCCTAAGCCTAAACCATAAACCAGAAAAATTCCCTTAAACCCTAAGCTTAAACCCTAAACCATAAACAAGAAAAAGTCACTTAAGACCCAAGCCTAAACCGTGTTAAAGTTTGACAGCCTAAGCTAGATCAAGCAAACAGGGTCACAAGGGAAATCAAGACGTCGGCATCCCCACTACGACTCTGGCCATAGTCATTCTTCATCATTTTCTCTGACATAGTGGCCTTGATAAGTACCTATACTATTTTGGGGGTTCCTTATTAAAAATTACACTATTATGGGCCCCCCAAACCCTGTTCTAATTAATAAGCCCCTGTACTAGCTACTTATCATCAAGCCTGAAGAAGTAGCAAGGCTTATTGCGCAGCTTGCCACGCACGTGGAGGACACCTATCGTGGGGTCATTCGGAACCCCGACAGACTAAACTCTAGAGGGGCCTGCAAGATTCGGTAACCTTCCCTAGGGGAGATGCTTTGTAGAGGTTTCTGCTGTCTGGCTTGCTAGAGACCAGTGCTGGGTGCAAGAGAGAAGGTGGTTAGATATATACTTACGTTCATATTTCTTCGGTTTTTGTTCCATTCCATATGCATGTATATATATATATATATATATATATATACACACACACATATACATACTCATACGTATAGACCCTTTAATATTAAAGGATGCACACGCACAGCTTCCATGAGGATGAACCGGGGGTCCGCCTGTGTCAGAAACAGAGCTTGGGCAATATCCTTCGGCAGACGTAAAGGAAGCTCGGGATTGGGGATTCAGTGTACTGTGGTTTGGATCAGCATGCCTTCTGTAGCCAGATAAGTGTCAGGTTTGAGCCAAGGCCCGTTTGAGTCCCAACATACGTATACTCGACTTCAAAAGAATGTCCAACCCTGTGCCAACTCCAACAAGATCTGTAATGATGGAGATGCCGGCACACACGAAAGACTTTCAAAAAACAGCAAACTCACAGAATTCCTGGAGTCTCCAACCGCAAGCCTCAAAAGATTGGACTTTGGGTATGCCCTATAATACCCCCCAGAAGAGAGGTACCTCCTACCTCGTGATTTAAAGTGACAGGGGTTCGGTTTGGGATTTCGCGATAGCAGGAGTCCCACATGCAACAGATACTGGAGCAGTGCGGAGACATTCAGGCCCGGTGTCTGCTTAGGCTCTCAGACGGTACTTAGAGGATCATGGGACTTAGTAAGTAGGGTTATAAGTAAGGTAACTATAGTTACATCTACTTATACCCCCAATTAAGGTACTTATAGCCCTACTTGCTAAGTCCCATGATCCTCCAGGAAATCCTTTGACCATGACAGGTACGTGTGTCCCTATGGGCCTAGCACATGTAAACACTAGCAGATACTCATAGTCTCAGGGAGTCTGGAGTTCTCAAAGCTTCCGACGTTGGATGTTCAGGTCGTGTTTCGTGTTACGTTTAGCTTGCTGCGGTTTCCCAGGGGGTGCGGTGCGAAAAGGGAGTTTCAGAACGTAGACGCCACACAGTAGGACCTGATTTCTGGACAACAGAACTTGTATGCGTAGGTTGCCGGTCACAGAAGAAGCATCTCGTTATGGTTCGAACTTCCAGCTAGGCCATGTAGAGTGTAGTTTTTTTTGTAGATTGTTGTTCTTACCGAGTTTTTTTACATAACCGTACCCTGGTAAATAATTGTTAGTTGCTCTTGTCGCGTGGTATAAAGCCCTCAAGTCCTAAACCCCCTACACACCAAAACCCATGCCCTGCAATGCGGGCCTCGTCCATGCTAGGTAGGAGGTAAAAAAAACCCATAACCGTTACCCATAGGACTCCATAGTAGTTCCTTTTTGGGGATTCCCTTATAGGAGTCTGAACCCCAAAAAGGAACTACTATGGAGCCTCTAGGTATAAACCTCTAAAAGGCTCAGACTCCTGGAGTCGAGGGGCTCGTCTCCCAGGGTTTTTGTGGCGTTTTTTTTGGCGCTGGTAGCATGCTATAAATGAGAGTTTCCCAAAATTCGGGGTACCTTATTTTGGGGTCCTTGTAATAAGGATCCTACCATTTCGGGTACTATATTAGGGTCCCCTATTTCCGGAAACTCCCAAATAGGATCCCTACTGTATTCCGCAATACGAGGTACGTGCTTTTTGCAGGGGTTCTACATTACTTGTCGTTCTTCGCTGCTTGTGCTATGTTTGCAAGTAGCATCAAGGACGTCCCTCTCCGGCTCTATCGGTTTGCAACCACCGTAGCACTCCAATAGAAAAGGGGCCTTAATAATTAGAGTAGGGTTCCTTTAAAAGGTGTCTATAAGGGGTACTATAAGGGTACTATAAGGGTACTGAGTTTGTCTGTGGCGTGCAGGCGGGTGCGCTAGTCATGCGTAACACTTGGTTGATAAAACCCTTGGCTTAGAAGGGGCCCCCACCCTGTAATAGTGGTATAATAGGAATATAATAGGGCCCTAATATAAGATTAATATAATCCTTAGAGTCACTATTACAGGGTGGGGGCAGCTTCTAACCCTTGCCTTTATAGGTGTTATGGTGGGGATCTGAAGATGATGGCTTTGAGCGACAGAGGGGTTACCATTCCGGAGTTCGCATCATCACTAGTGCCATGAATGTAAACTTACACCCTAAGCCCTAGAGCCACCGATTCTGAACTCCAGGCCCTATAATCCTGAAACCTTGAGAAGCCTGAACCCCGAACCTCAAATCTTGAACCCTGAAACCTTAACCATCAACTCTGAAGCTTGACTCTTGAACCCTCAACCCTACCTAAACCTTTACTTTAACCCTACACTCCTCAAATCCTCAACCCGATATTCTAAACCGTGCCATGCGAGCTTGTCTTTGCGAAGTAAGGCGGCAAGAACAGCCTTGTCCTTTTTCATGGTTCCCCCAAAAGAATAAACAGACCGGCTAGTAGACCTTCTTAAATAATTCCTACTACGGGATATAGGTATACGGCTCTGTCTATTATTTCTAAAAGACAGGGCTGGGCAAGAATCCCTAAACCCTGAACCACAAAACCCTGATCCCTACTTGCAGGGTCGGGGGACTTAGTAACTGGTTCTTTTAGGGACTTATAAGTACCATAACCGCAATTAGGGGTCCCTTTTAGGGTACTTATAAGTCTACGTACCACCTACCTACTAAGTCCCCCGACCCTCCAAGTAGACCCCATCTCTAAGTTAACCCTACGTAAGCCCCTGAAGCGCTGAAGTAGACCCCATATCCCTGGCGTTCTTCTGCTTGGGTCTTAGGACTTTAACTTTTTGGGTTTCTATATGAACTATAACAAGGAGGCTAAAAGTTTAACTTTTTGGAGGGGTTCAGAAGTCAGCCAAGATCCGAAACCCCAAGCCAGATCCTAAATGCCCTATAATCTCCCCCTATAATTACCTCGCCTGGATTGTCCGGTGTGTGAGCGCCGAACCCCTAGAAGCCCCACCATATTTGTACAGGTTAGCATTATTTGGGCTAGGTTAATCTTGGGGCCCATTGTACTATAAATAATAAATATAATAAGGAAGCCCCAAAATGGTACAGGTAACTATTAAGGCCCTTTTGTTACCGGTCCCTACTTGGAGGGTCGGGGGACTTAGTAAGTAGGTAGTAAGTAGACTTACACGTACCCTAAAAGGGACCCTAATTGGGGTTATGGTACTTATAAGTCTCTAAATAACTACTTACTAAGTCCCCCGACCCTCCAAGTAAGCAATTTGCGAGGCCTTCCGGCGAGGACAAGATGCCGAGGGCCGCAACTTGGACCTGCAACGCCTTCAACGAAGCCTTCAGGGTTTAGGGTCTAGGGTTTAGGGTTTGGGGTTTAGGGTTTAGGGTTTGGGGTTTAGGGTTTAGGGTTCAGGGTTTGGGGTTTAGGGTTCGGGGTTTAGGGTTTAGGGTTCAGGGTTCAGGGTTTAGGGTTCAGGGTTTAGGGTTTAGGGGTCGGGGTTTAGAGTTTAGGGTTTAGGGGTCGGGGTTTAGGGTTTAGGGTTTGGGGTTCTGGTTCAGCGGCTTAGAGAGCTCAGTTTGTACAGTCTTGGTTTTAGGGTTTAGGGTTTAGCGGTCATGTGGTTTGGGGGTTAGGGACTGGGGTTTAGGGATTAAGTAAGGTTTACTGGTTGGGGGTTTGGGGCTTGGGGATATAGCAGGGTTGGATAAAAAAATAAGAACATCGAGGCGTTGATAAGTAGCATGGAGTTCCAGGGTACGGCATGATATGGTACTGGTATGGTACTGTTATAAGAGAACGGTGTAGGGTGTGGGCATTGGTGTGTAGAGGTTTGAGGTGTTTGGAAGACCCCCTCTCTTCAAGGCCGTCCTGATTATCACGCGAAGGGGATTCGATTCGGAACGATGGGCCTCCGATGGGGGTTTCGGGGACAGGAGAGCTCTTCCTATATAAAGTTGACACGAGTTCTTTCCACGGGGTTTCTGAGTTCGGGGCTTGGGGATTGAGTTTTCGGAGTGTAGATATAGGGGGACGGGGACGGAGTAATTTCCGCTGTGTTGCTCCTTACAGCTCCTCATTGTGTTACTGTATGTCATACTCCAAAGCCCTATTCTATTTGTTGCGGCCCCTACTGTATGTTGAGCTTCTGGGCAGTTGAAACCCGAAGAAGCAAGCGCTTGACCATTATTGTCCTCGGATCCTGTTTGCTTTAGACCCCGCGCCGTCCCTGAACCACATCCAGCCATTAATCCTGAAACCCTAAACCAGACCCTAACTCGAATCCTGATTCGCCCTATAGCCTTCTGGGGTTTAGAGGATTTAGGCCACTGTGACTCTGGGCTGAGTAGGCCCTAACCCTCAGGCCCTAAACAATTACCTATACACTATTCCTAGAGTTCCCTATTCTTTTTTCTCAATATAATGGTCCCCAAGAACCGATTAAGGCCCCTATGGTAACCTTCAGGACCCATGAGCTTCGGCGTTGCACAGTTCGCAGATGCGGAGTCTGCCTGGAAAGCCTTTACCTGCGCCTTGGGTCAAAGAGTGCTTCGTGCTCTATTTTGGCTCTATCTTAAGGGTCCATGGTAGTTCCTTTTTGTGTTTGCCATACAGGATTCTAAATATGAACCCCAAAAAGGAACTACTATGGAGCCTATGGGTATCAGACAAGTTAGAGAGGCTCAACATGTCTCCAAGCCTCCCGGACTTATTCATACCCTACACCTTTTTTAAGGTACCTAAGTTCTTGGTTACGATCTGCTAGATAGAAAACTAGGTGCCCTAAAAAAGGGGGTAGGGTCAACTCAACTTTTAAAAACAAAAAAAGGGGTAGGGTATGACCCCACAGGTATGACCTCCCATGAACTTATCGGCTCACCGGCTCGAGCATTTGTCTCCGTCCGCTGCCACGTCCATGCAGCATCGGAGATTCATCAAGAAAGATAGAGACACTAGGGTTTAGGGTTTAGGGTTTAGGGTTAAGAAAGAGAGACACACCCTGTGTCCTAGCTTTCCTGTGTCCTAGTTGCTTGGAACCTTGGAAGTTGTGGCTTTTGCATCAGGGAAGTATCTCATTAGGAGTCCTCATATACAGATCCTACCTGTTGGCGTTTATGATCGGGCTTATGATCCTCTGAAGCTCCCATATATGTTGATAACCACTCGGCGACTGCCACTGCTTCTTCTGTGCCTTGTGCTGCAGTTACTTTGGCCATCTGCAGAGATACTGCTCAGATGCTTCCGACACTATTAGCAGTGACTTCTTTTACTGATCGTAGTTTGACTAGGGTTTGGGGGCACACTTTACACTCTATATCTATACTGCAAGACCCGGATGAATAGTACTGGCAATGCTGCAGGCTTTACATTCCACCACGAAGTGTATGATTTTTGCTCATGAGCCGCCCGAAAAATGAACTCGATGCAGTGCGCTCGCCTAGTCACTAGTCGAGAGTTAGCCTTAGCAAACCCTGCATCCCAAGCCGGAGCCAAGCAATCTGACGCTTTCCCCTCCCTCCACCCAGTCCCATTGAGGCTTAAACAAGCGACGGCTGGCAGGCCAAGAGATTAAGGCACGCCTGGAAGCGACAAAAACAAGAGGGCACGACAAACATAGGGTTCTATGAAGGTTGAGGAACGATTTGTAAGTTTGCTGTCGTGCTGTTTTGTAATGGCAGAAATCTTTAGCAGCATCTTTCTATTTTGCTGAAGAAGGTAGTGAGTAGGAGGTCCTTCCGGGACAAGGTATCGAAAACTGGGGTCCTGCACCCTCCACCTCAAAACTCCGCAGGGGGGGATGAGTGAAGGGCAGTCGGTAGGGCTTAGGATGATGGCCGTGTATATCCCCATTGAGTCCTACTCTTAGTAGCTGAGTGGATGCACATTACACTTTTGGGATAATATGACCCACTATAAAGCTGGAAGTGTACACATCTTGGGGCTTATGAACTGAGCAACTAAGTACTTGCTCATGAGCCTTATCCTCCAAGTAGAAGCTTGCAATCTCGGTGCCCGAAACCCGACACATCAGAACGACCAGAAACGGCTGGAACACACAGGCCTCTAAACGGAAACATACAAATATCCGGTTTAGGGTTTAAGACTACGACTACTCTAGCAAAGCAGATCGAGGGATGCAAAGATATGATGCGAGTTTCGGGTGTAAGTGCAGCAAAGGCACGGCACTCAAACTCAAGACGGATGCGGAACGAGTCAGAAGTGATCAGTGGCACTTAAGCAAGATATTGTAGAAGCTGCCCCCACCCTGTAATAGCGGTATAATAGGAATACAATAGGGCCCTAATTTAATCCTATACAAACCTTATGGTCACTATTACAGGGTGGGGGCCCCTTCTAAAAGATATTCTTCTAATTGAGTTCTCAGAGCACTGCAAACTACAAACCCTTGGGCTGAAAAAGCCTCAAGCCAAGAACCGTGAACCCAAAGTCAAGGCTTGGGGCTTCTCTTTAGGGACACGGTTTTCCCACTCAGGCTCGTGATACCGTAGATTTCACATTGTTGGCTCTTTTTTTTTGGGGGGGGGGCTTCTCTTGGTGTTCTGGAAGTTGTGGTGGTGGGGAAGATCTTGCAGCTAAAGAGTCTCTCTGCAGCGCATGTAGCACCGCGCCGTTCTGATTTCATCTTTCGTTACTGTCTGAAGGTTTGGAGGCCTTGTTTTGGGGTCCTTACAACAAGGATCCTAGAATTTAGGGTATATGTGTGGGTGGTTGTCAAAATTAGGGTCCATTTTTGGGGTACCCTTAATTATGGGTGCCGTATTATAATCGGGACCCAAAAAGGGACCCTAGTTTTGACAACCACCCATATTGGGATCCCCTAATTTTTGTGTCATGACGTCAGGTGCTGCTCGAGGAGAACACGGAGCAAACCATCCTCAGGTGGAAGAGCTTTGGCCGGTTTTCTCATATTGGTGGTTGTCAAAATTACGGCCCCTTTGTGGGTACCCCATATATTAAGGTGCCGCACTATATTAGGGACCCAAGAAGGTACCATATTTTTGACAACCACCCATATGTATTACTACCTTACACTACTAAACCCTACTCTTTTGTAGGGTCTTATTAAGAATCCTGATATGGAATTTAGAGGGACCCTACAAAAAAGTAGTTTTGGCAGATTAAGGTATGTTAGATTATGCCATATTATGTTTAAACCACATTATACGATATTAGACCGTAGCGGTATTGTATAGTGTTGGATGCCGGGGAGTCTCGCGCACCTGGCTTCCGTACTTCACTTCAAGGAGGAAAGGCAAGCCAACCCATTCCTTAATCCCAAATCACATACCTTTTTAAAGATTTACAAAAAGAAATCACATTAGGGATCCGTAAAATGGCAGGTTATTTGGGGTCCAGGTAAATATTCCCAAGCCAACTTCCCTGCCCTCTTGTCGTTCTTCACTGCCTTCAACGTCACCGAGGACTTCGCAGAAGGCAGTCTACCATGTCAACAGCGAATCCTAGCTGAATTGGCTAGAGTTTAGGGTTTAGGGCTCGGTTTATGGACAAGGGTTCACGGAATAGGGTAGGGTTTCTGTACTGATACCGGTTTACAGAGTTCAATGCTTCTGTTTTGTGGCAGAGCAGACTTGGAACCCGTCGTAGCACCTGGCAACCTTAGTTCCTACACTCCAAGGGTAAAAGCAGGGACCCTTAATAAGGACCCCTAGGTATATACCCTTGATATAGCTGTTTTCTATTCATTATGTAGCCCATTATAGAGTAGGGGTCCCCACTAAGGGTCCCTCTTTTTCCCCTAAAACCCCCAAACCCTAAACCCTATACCCTTATAGAATCCCTATAGATGCCTGTAAAGGGACCCCATTAAGTGTCCCTCCTTTTCCCCTTTGATACACCCAAAACGTTCGAGTCGGTTATGTCAGGATGTCAAGTTGAAAGGCTCGAAGTTGTACTACTTGGCCCTACTTAGAGGATGATGGGACTTAGTAAGTAGGGTTATAAGTAAGGTATCTATAGCTATATCTACTTTATAACCCCAACTAGGTTACTTATAACCCTACTTACTAAGTCCCATGATCCTCCAAGTAACTTGTGTTCGCCTGTTTCCCCTGCCCGACTCCGAGAAGCCTTGTAGTGATGCGCTAAGTGCAATGTTGAGTTGCCGCCCCGGCCACACAGACCTCGTTTGGCTTGCCGAAATGCGAGAGTGCAAACCCTACGGCTCCTTTTCTCACCCCTGACTCTAAACCCTAAGCCCTAAACCCTAAACCCTAAGGCAGCTGCTTTCTTTCTTTCTTTCTTTCCTTCCACTTTGAAGCCGGTGTTGGGTCTGTATGCGCCCAACCCTCCTGGCCTGTAGGCCTTTCTGACGGCCGCTGGGAGCAGCAGTTAGGAAAAAGGAGTCAACAAAAAAACAACCTAAGCACTAAACCCTAGGCTCTGATGATCAGTTCCCAGTGTGATACAGTCACAGTAGTTGCGGAAACCCAGACCTCGCCAGGCATGTCCGAGTTATTGAGTTGCGAGAGCGTAAACCCTATAGACTGAGCCTGTTGGATTGCAAGCTGTTCCAGGACGAGGAACTCGAGTGGGAGTTGGAAAGAACAGCAGTGAGCTGCAAAGCCCTGCTTGACTCCAAAATCGAGGAGCTGTGGCTAGCCTGAAATAAGGGTTTAGGGCTCATAGCGTTTAGGGTCTAGGGCTGTGGCGAACCTGAAATAAGGGCTAAGGTTTCATAGGGTTTAGGATCTAGGGCTGCGGCTAACCCGAAATAATTGAACTAGGGTTCATAGGATTTTTGGTTTAGGGCTGTGGCTAACCTGAAATAATTGAAACGGGGGTTTTAGGGTTTATAGGGTTAAGTGTTTAGGGCTGTGGCTAACTTGAAACAAGGGTTTAGGGCCGTTTAGGGTTTATAGGGTTAAGGGTTTAGGGTTGTGGCTAAGCTGAAATGCGTTGTCTTTGGGGGTGGTCTTGCAGAGAATTCGCCCTGGGACAGCGGTTGTGAAACTGGGGAGGGGGCATGGGAACAACCCTCTGCGATCTGCTTATGCAAAGACTCACCCCGCAAACCGGCTCCTGGAGGAAGCCCTCGTCCTTGCATGCATCCCCCAGAGACTCCGATGGCCCTCAATTCGGAGTATACCTTAAGTCATAATATGATCCTTATGTGATTCAAAGACTATTCCTGCAATCAAGGGATGTTGGAGTCTCTGGGCCCTATAATTTCAAGATCATATCAAACTTCAAGCAGCAACTATAGGCAACACTGGTGGCACGATGCCAGCGAAAGCCTCAAAGACACAGAAGTTGAACATATTCAGACTATTTAGCCGTAGTCGTATGGGAAAACCCAACTATGTTCGATTCTTCAAACCCGGGCTTCTGCTAAAGTTCTCCCGGGCAGAGGCTTCAAGATCTAGGAAACCACCTATAGTCTCCATTGTAATTCCTTGTTGGGGTTACCTTTTGGGATCCTTAATATGAAAATTGGTTAAACCAAAAAAAGGGAACTACAATGGAGACTATAGGCAAGACTTTGGCCGACCAGCTCGAGCTCTGCCATAAGAGATTAGTTCCAAGGGTAAAAGGAGGGACCCTTAATAAGGACCCCTAGGTATAGACCCTTGATATAGCTGTTTTCTACTCATTATATAGCCCATTATAGGGTAGGGGTCCCCATTAAAGTGTCCCTCCTTTTCCCCTTTGATTAATGGTTTCAGGGCTTCTAGAAAGGCCCTACAAACGTTTCGAAAAGAGGTTCAAAAGGTGCCTTGAAAGTTGCTGGTAAGGGTTCTTTCCAGGTTCCATCAGGGTTCTATAAGCATGCCGCAAGGATGGTGCATAGTTCTTTTAAAGGGTGTCCAGGGTTTGGCTCTGCCGGAATCCCCTGAGCCCCAAGCTCACAAGGGGACCTAAACCCTAAGCAGCGAAGCCCTAAACCCTAACCCCCCCCCCCCCCCTCCACTCCCTAAAACTGCGCCTAAAACCTAAACCAGTGTGACAGTCCTTTCTCCAGCGCTCGAACGCTTAAAACTACGGCCTACAGAGGCATGAGCTTAGATCCTTAGCCTCTGAGCCCAAACGACCCCAAACCCGAAAGCCTGAATAAGCTCATAAGAGCCCTTGTGGGCAGATCCTCAAGACACCTTAAACTGTTAATTTCTCAAGCACAGAACTGTATTGGATCCTTTATAGTTACTAACCAGTGGTTTTGGGGTTCCCTTGGCTCTTTAGCTCCTTATTTAGGAGGGACTATCATCATCCCTGGCTCCTTAGCTCCTCCAATATCAATGGTTAGGTTAGACTCAGTTAGACTTCTGAAAGCCTCCAGGGAAATACGCCAGACCCTTTACACTCTAGAACCCGCAAGAACCCCACAGCCTAGGGATACAAGTACCCTTTCGCCCTTGAGCCTAAAACCTCGCACCGTAAATCCATACATCCCAAACTCTACACCCTCAACCCTGAACCCTACGACCTGGAGGCCTAGAAGTAGAGTAGGGAACCTTTAACCTGTTTTTAATTTTTGGGTAGTATAGTCCCCTATATAGTCCCTATATAACCAAAAAGGTTTAACCTTGAGTTCCCCATGATACCCCGACAAGTAGGGAGGTATCCCTATACACCCCATTCAGGTATGGTGCTTCGGATGTCTCTGGTGGGGCGGCAGCCCAGAGAAGGAATCGAAGGGGATGGACGGGTCTTCAAGGGTTCAGGGTTTAGGGTTTGAGGGGGTTAGGGTTGAGGGGTTTATGGGTTTACTGTTCTGCAGGCTCCTTAACTAAGGAGGCGCTTGTATCTATGTTCTGAGTTAGGGAGTCGTGGGTTATGTTAGGGTTTATAGATCGTTTTAAGGGTTCTCTGTGAGGGTTCCCGTAAAGTTTTTGCTGGTTCTACAAGGGTTTGAGGGGTGCTTGGGGCCTTTCGTGACTTTAGTGTTTTGAGTTTTGCATGGATTTCGCGGTGAACATGGGTTTGAGAGGGCTTTTGGCGTATGGTTTTGTGCAGTCGGTGAGAGTGAGAATTCAGTTCTCGGCTCAGCCGAAAAGACCGGGTCCGAACATTGGAATACTTACCTTGAGGGTCCCTGACCGCTCCTCGAGAATACACTTCAGCATACCCCCAAACACTATGCTGGTTGTTAAGGCACCGAAATTCGGATCTCAGGTGTGTTTCAAGAACTGGGTTGTCCTTTGTGATCTTTTTCAATTTCCCTAAGTATTTTGTAGAGAGCCATATTAGTAAATGGTTTTCAAAGGACTTAAAGAACAACTCTGAGAAGATCCAAAACCACCGGGGCGCATTGCGACCTTCCCTCGAGTTTTTAGCGCTTCGGGGCTCTATTCGCAAAGGCTCAATGTACCCTTATAGTAGGTACTTAGGCCTTAAAGTACCCATATAGGGGACCCCTTTAAGGCCTAAGTACCTACTATATGGGTACATGGAGCCTTTGGGATTGCACCTTGCAGAATGGTGCCCTGGGTTTTCGAAACAGGCACCCCCTCCCCCCTAATTGATGTGGATGCCTCTACTTACTTAGTAGCTGAGTGGATACACATTACACTTTTGGGGATCATATTACCCACTAGAAAGCTGAAAGTGTACACTTTTGGGGGCTTATGAACTCAGCAACTAAGTTTGCACTAGAAGCTTCATGACGAAGGCCCCCCGGTTGTAGATGAACTGTAACAGGCCTGCTGTACAGCAACCATCCGTGCGTGACCACTTTCTCGACCTGCGTATCTAAAAGTTGGTCGCAGCGCGTCAAGCCATGACTTACCCAATCTCCGTCAATCCCCTAAACCAACTCCTAAACCAACCCCTAAAACCCCTAAACCCCTAGTTAAAGCCCTAAACAGCCCCTAAACCTTACATCCTAAGCCCTAAACGCATGGCTCCAGGAAAGAGCTGCGAGAGCGTGAGCAAAAGCGAGTCTCTCTTGAACGGATGGGTCAGGGAGGGCTCCGCAGGGCAGGACTCCGAAACGGACATCGGAGGTACGGTTGAGGGCTCAGGTTCAGGGCTCAGGATTTAGGGCTCAGGATTTAGGGCTTAGGTTTTAGGGCCTAGGATTTAGGGCTCAGGGTTTAGGGCTCAGGGTTTAGGGTTTAAGGCTCAGGTTTTGAGGCTCAGGGTTTAGGGCTCAGGGTGTGAGGATGGCTCCCTTTTTTGAGCGGGTGTTCTACTTTCAGAGTCCTAGGATCAGTTGAAGCTCCCAGACTTCCTTTTGCCTTAGCTTACCTTTGGCTAGTAGGGAATGGAGGAATGGGGTTTAGGGTAGTAGGGTTTAGGGTTTAGGGTAGTAGGGTTTAGGGTAGTAGGGAATGGAGGAATGGGGTACAATTATAACTACTATTACTACCATTCTTCCATTCCCTACTAACAAAAGGTAAGTTAGGTCTGCCCGGGGTCTTAAACCCGATGCCGCAAGTCCTAGATCCTAAAGCCTAATGCAGGGCCTTCATACTTAGAATTAGAATAGGGCTTGGGGTTAAAATATACGATAAGGAGCCCCCCACAACCCTTCTAATTATGAAGGTACTAAACTTGGTCATAGTTGGGCAACTTTTTACATTTTAATCGGTATTTAAACCCAATAAGGAATACAAAATTTAATTTGTTCATCATATCCCATATGTCTTTCGCAGAAGGAAGAGAGGATACAGCCTCGAGCCGATGCCCCACTGCGGTCTGTGGCTTGAGGTATATCACAGGTGTAGGGTTATGAGTTTAAGGCTTAGGGTTGATAAGGGGCCCCCGTAAAGTGCAACCTGAAGTATAAGGAGGCCGTGGAATCAGCTTAGTTGGTATTACATATTGTTGCTCTGGAGGCCATCGGAAGCCTCTAAATGCAGAACCGTACGTGTCAAGACCAGGGCAAGCCCTTGACAACACATCGCGGCCTGCAGCAAAAATGGCACCCAAGGCCCGCGAACCCCAAAACCCCGAGCCCCATGAACCTGAAATAACCGAAAATGTCTCCAATTGTTACATACATAAGAAAGCACATATATATATATATATGTATGTATGTATATATGTATAATACATGTATATGTGTATTATATAATATAAATATACTTACATGTATATTTGATACAATATAAAGATATGTAACTGATGCTAATTATTGGTATCGTAGAAAATTTGTCAAGTAATGCTTGCAGTCGTCACGGAGGTTTGAACAAGTACCTTTTGCCGTGCCATATCTAGATAAAAAATGGAACGGTGATGCTATGGTTCGGGGTACAACCCTAATAAACCCCACGAGTCAGGGATGTTCGGGGCAGATTCTGAAGCTCATAGGCGTGTCTAAGGAGTGGATCGGGCGAGAAAGCGAAAGGCCTGGCGCGAGGCAGAGTTCGGTAGAGAGCTGGACAGAAGCTCGGCTCTTCAGCAGTCCTTTGCATTGCTATAGGGGCCTAAATAATTACCTATACTTTTTTGCGGGGTCCTTACTATAAGGCCCCTTTACTAAATCCTTATAATGCCGGTTCTGGGTTTGGACGGTTAGAGTTTAGTGGTTTAGGTATTGGGTTGGTTATTTGGGGTTTAAAGTTTAGGGTTTGAGGGCTCGAAGTCAACTAGACTGACAAGCCATCAATCCCGAACCAACCAACGGCGTCAAATTTCCAAGTTGTCATTCCTTGGTCGAGGATTTTCTTAGATCCCCAGTACCTAACCTTTAAACTTGTTGGGCTCTTATGGTTTAGTAGGAATCGGAAAGTTTAACCTTTTATTTCTGTGGCTTATTGGGGCAATACGTTTTTGCAAGCTTTAAGAGGGATCCCTTGCACTTTGGCGTCTCAGAGAGCTTGTTTCACCGGTAGTGGCAAGAAGGGGTGCAGGTGGGCGACTGACTACCACAAACCTGGCAAAGGCGGACCACGACAAAAGAATATGTAGCCTGCATATTCCAGCCTCCCATGAACCTCCAGGTGGGGCTTTGGGACATTTTATATTTGCTCTTAGCGGGCTAAAAAGCATCTTAACTACTAATATGGTTTGAAGGCACCTCCTAGACCTCCAATAACCTCCAGTTCAAGCCAGGCTTGAGCTAAGCCCGACGCCCAAGCTTCTCCTACAGCCGCTCCGGGTCAGCTCTTTGGGCCCGCTTTCCTGCAACGCCCAAGGACTCACACAGGATGCACTTCCGGTCCGGGAAGCCCTGAACCTTTTCAAATCTACAAACTTTGAACCCCAAAGCCAAAAATTGCAGCCATACAAACGGTAAGCCCTGAACCACATGAAGACGGTCTGGACCCTCGGCCCTGAACTTCACTAAACCTTCAGGGGCTCATGTATCTCTATATGGGTACATGGACCCTTAGGGAGAGGGAGATGCCAAGGACTGCAGGCCGCGGAGAAAAGGCTTCGCGACGAGGAGAGGGAGCAGGACGACGCAGATCGTGAGAAGGAGGACCAGGAGGCGGTGTATGGAACCTTTTTTGGGTTCCCTTTAAGTGCGTCTATAAGGCTACTACATTAAGGGAGAAGGTTTTAGTAAAGGGGCTACGACCTGGAGGCCTAGTAGTAGAGTAGGCAACCTTTAACCTTTTTGGGGTAGTATAGTCCCTGTATAATCCCTATATAACCAAGAAAGTTAACCTTGAGTTCCTGATGATAATCGATAAGTAGGTGTATGGAACCTTTTTTGGGGGTTCCCTTTAAAGGCGTCTATAAGGCTACTATATTCAGGGCTATTATAAGGCCTTTATGATTATGTGGTTCCCTTTAAAGGGGTCTATAAGGCTACTATAGGGGCTATCAGGATTTAGTAAAGGGGCCTTAATAACTAGAAGAGGGCTTTGTGGTCCATTATAGGACATACACATATTAATATATATATATATATATATATATATATATATATATAGTAAGGAGCCCCACAAAATAGTATTTGGAATGGTTCAGGCCCTTATAACTAATTAGAAATTAACCTTTAACCTTCTGCGGCTTATAGAATCATACTATAATTCACAAGCCTAACCTTTTTTTGGACTATTAGGTACTTAGCCCTAAGGCGAAAGCAGCATTGGGTTTACGGGGTTTAGGGCTTGCGTGCTTTAGGGTTTCAGTCTTTTTTGCGTGTAGGTTGAAAGAGTCATGCTTCTGATTGCAATGGTCGTTCCTGGAGCTACATCTAATTCCAACACGGTCTTCCGGCATTCTTCTCCCACTCTAAGCGCTTAGCCCCCAAAACCCAAAACCTCGGCCCAGCCCACACCCTGAAATCCACAAACGAAACCCTGGAACAAAATTACAATGTGGTAGAATTGTGGTTCCAGGGCTTGCTTGCGGATTCTTGGTGCCCGGCGCGGTCATCGAGAAAACCCGAGTAGCGGTTCAAGTTACTCATAAGTGGTCTACTTTACGGTGGCCATACCGGGGCAGCAGATAGGCAGCTGGCTTCTAGAGATAGTTTCACCGTGGTTAAGATAACCAACGGCTAGACACGATGAATATTAAAGAAATTTTAGTTTTGCCATTCCCTTGTTGAGTGACACTCGGCTCATGCGGATGTTGGGGGTTGAAAAGGTACAAGCTCGACCCTACTGCAGATGACGCACCCAGACCCTCTACCAGCAAACATTCATCTTGTAGTTGGGGTATCGAAACTAGGACCTAGAGTAGGCCCTGATTCCTTTTTGAGGGGTTCGGGTTCCCTCATAAGCCCCTATTTTCAAAAAGGGCACCCTTTTTATTCCTATGTTACTCTTGGGTCCAGGAAATCGCAGGTCTTAACGAATTATAGCCAGAGAATGCGGACTGTGTTTTTGATCCTACACTGATCCTACAGGTGATCACGCACTGGACGGAGACCCCCCCATTCCCAACGCAGAATCGCAAGCAAAGACCTCACACCCATGTCGCCCTCCGCAAACCCAACTGAAAATCCCGAAGGCCATCAGAAGTCTGCCTGCCAAGGAAATAGCTAAGATAGCCATTTAGTTGAAGCACCGTTATCCTGTTGTGCCGGTCCAACTGAATGGCTGCAGAAGGTCCAAGAGAAGCAGAGGAAGGAGCTCAAGCTCGAGAAGCTCGAGGCACGTGCTGCCACACCTCGCGGAAAATTTCCCGATCTATATAATATGTCGATCAAAGATACCGAAATCAATGGACACTTTTTAATTCTACCAGGTAATCACACATCTATCCTGGCTTGGCAGCTGTATGTCCAGGGCAGGGAGGGAGGGAGATGTGGCCGGAGATAGTAGATGTTGAAGAGTAGTTTAGATTTTGTGGTTTCTGCAGCAGAAAAAGAGCCGAGGCCCTGAAATAACTTATTACTGTTATAACTATCATTATTCTGATTACTGTATTATCAGAAGATTATTGTTATTACTATTATTACTATCATTATTTTTATAAAGCTCTTATTACTATTACTAGAACTTCTATTACTATTAGTATTATTAGCAGTAGTAAAATTATTTTTGTTGTTATTAGTATTGTCAGTCTCTGACCAGGCCGAGGATGGCTTGGTTCGTACGCTGAACGTGGCGCAGCTGGCGGACAATCGGGCGCTGATGCAGATGGTAGAGAAGGCCATGCTTTGGGTACGGCAACTACTCAGTAATAGTTTGGAAGCTGCCCCACCCTGTAATAGTGACTGTAAGGATTATATTCGGGCCCTATTATATTCCTATTATACCACTATTACAGGGTGGGGGCCCCTTCTAGGTAATAGTTGAATAATATTCCCCAAAGGGTCCTATGTACCGATATAGTAGAATGTAGGGTTTCCATGTTAGGAACAACTATTATGACTTAGGGAAGTATCCCCCATAACAGTACAAAGGACCCGTCGGGTTCTTGATATTGATATATTAGGACCTTTGTAGTAGCCCTATTATAGACTCTTACTGTAAGGGGGCAGTACCTAAGCCATGCTATAGGTTCTCGTAAGGTTTAGGGTTTAGGGTCTAGGTTTTCGTATACTTGGGCCATGCTACTTGGAGGTTCATGGGGTAGTGAGTTTTAAGTGGGGTTATAAGTAGGGTAACAAAAGTTATAACTCCTAATTGTTAGGGGGACTGAAAACCCTACTTAGAACTACCCATGAACCTCCAAGTCTAGGTTTTCGTAAACTTGGGCCATCTAGGTTTTCGTATAATAAGGCTTATGAAAGGCGGAGGCGAAGGCAGGGCCTTAATAGGTTGGGTGTGCCCATAACCGCTCTCATCCCTGGATGAGAGTTCGCCGCTACCTCTAGGATCTACTACTTGCAGGATCATGGGACTTAGCAAGTAAGGTTATAAGTACCTTAATTGGGGTTATAAGTAGCTAGAAGTATAGTTACCCTAATCATAACCCTAGTTACTAAGTCCCATGATCCTCTAAGTAAGGTTGCTGGGTATACACCCTAGACCCGATTTAGAAGCCAGGCCCTACACCCCACAAGTATTTCTGTGCGCATGTGTATGTTGCGGGTTATTGGTGAGGGCAGGGGCTGTAGTAGACGCCCTTCTTCATAAAAGTTGTTTCGGACGCCTGATACAGCCCTTCTTTTATCTTTGCGAGCCTCCTAAGTTAAAGCCCTACATTAACCTCATGTCATAGACTTATGAGACTCCGAAGCGATGCTTCTCTCCACGATCCTTAGTGAGCCTTGTTTATCCGCGGCTTTCATAACTACCAAGATTATTCCTTAGGGCCGTAAGATGTTTTAAGTATACTTATAAGACATATAACATATCCCCACATCCCGATTCCGAAACTTCAGGCCCTGAAGTTATGACTCTATATAAACCCTACACCCAAGATTACAACGCCTATATATGGACCCTAAACCCAAGATTACAACCCCTACATAAACCCTAAACCTAAGATTACAACCCCTACATAAACCCTAAACCCAAGATTTCAACCCTGGTATAAACCCTAAAGCCAAGATTTCAACCCTAGGCCCGGAGCCCAAAATTCAGTCGAACGCCAGGTCCAGGAGGAGCCTCGCGAGGAGCTCTTTACGATGAACCCTCCTCTCGATTTGTTTTTGAGGTTTTGAGGGTCAACTTAAAGAGGTCTTGGGCCTCTTTTAGGGATTCAAGGTTTTTTCAATTCGGGGTTTGGGGTTCTATGGGGTTGTTCAGTGCACTTTTGGGGTTTCGGGTTTTGGGTGTGAGGGCTTAGGGCATGAAACTGCATAAAGTTGGAGCATGAAGCTTGGGTTACCTTGGCGGCCAGTCCGTCGCAGCACGTGCGCAGACGCAGACGTACCTGTCCTCTGCCCAAGAGGTTTTGTCCTTTAGATGAAGGCTCCGTGGGTTCCAAAGCTCATATATGCCCTAATCCCATGAGCCCCGGCTCAAGAGAGCACCTTCACGGTGCAGCAAGCGGGGCGTTCGGGGCGTGCGAGTCACTCTCATGGTTCTCGGAGCCCTGCGGGTGATAGCTTTCGTAATGTTTATGAACCTTTCCTGTTTTCACGACTTGACAAAACTCATCGCAGTGTTCATAGCATGAGCTGCATTTCCACAAACTTTCAAGCAAAGCCTAAGCTAGGTCCAAGTGCACGCGGATCGTTTAAGTGCTTCAGTCTTTTCTGGGATTGCAGGTCAGCCTTTAGACTAGTCTTGGCTCTTGTGATGGAACGAAAGCACAGCTATTCTCTGTCCGGCTTGTCTGGCGACTCACTCTAAGTTGCTGAAGAACCCGGTGATGTAGCACGCTTCAGGGTTTTGGGGTGCAGGGCCGTGAGATACTCGGACATGTTGTGGTCGAAAATATTTTTTGGCTGTTCTTAGAGTTGGATGGATCCCTCCCGGAGTAAGGTGCGGAGGCTTGATAGTAATTGGGCCTTGACAAGCCTGAGTTTAAGTACTGATGGGATATCGTTTGTCTTTCCTCTTGCAGTAATTACTACACATGTCTCGAATCTTCGCGCTGACGTGGGTGATGCAGCATTTTCGGTAAGCCCCAAACTCAAGGTCATGTACATTGCCGAATAACAAAGTGTGATTATCGGATCCTTGCTACCAAATGGAAAAGCAATCCGAACAATGTCCTGCGTTCTAGGGTTTGGGCGCGCTCAAAACCAACCCTAACAACCCTAAATAAAACCCCCAAGAGCCCTAGGAAGCCAAAGAACCCTATGAACCTTTAGCACCGTAAACGCCCAACCCTCAACCCTATTGTAGGAGCCTGAACAATCAGAACACGGTCTTTGGGTTCCTTATATTGTTCTAATTTTCGTATACTGCACCCCCAAACCCTATTCTAATCATTATGGCCCCTACCCCACATTATGTGAACCCCAAGCAAAGCCTACGAACCCCATAAGAACGCTTTGAGAACCCTAAACCTAGGAAGCTGGACACAGCGTATTTGCGCAACGAGCGCTTGCTCGAGCGAAAGCTGCGGCCTTGGCTGGAGCGAAAAATCGACGCTTGGCCGCGGATTTAGGGTGGGGTTTAGGGCAAAGGGTTTAGGGTTCAGCGATTGGGGCTTTGGGGCTTAGGTTTAGGGTGTCAGGGTTTGGGGTTTAGGGCCTTGACTTCTGGGGTTAGTTCTGTTTTAATTTAGGGTTAGCGGTTCTTCGTTTCTGGATTTTGAGACTTTGGATTTAAGCTTTCTTGCTTTGGCCGGGGTTGATCTGGGCTCCATTGGAGCTGTCAATCTTCAAAGCCACAGTTTGGGGTCACAGCAGCTGTGGAAACCTGCAGGTAACTAGGGTCATGATCAGGGTACGTAGCGCTACTTATAGCCACTTATAACCCCTATTAAGGTAATTATAATATAACCCTACTTACTAAGTCCCATGATCCTCCAAGTATCATTATCCCAACAAAACCCATACACGCAAGCCCGCCTCCCTTTGTGAGTGGCAGCACAAACCGTTAAAAACCCTGGCCCCAGTCATGTCGTCGTCCTTGATAGCTTTTTGCATATGCTCGGTTGGGTGCTTCGAGGCAATCCGACAAGCCTTGAGAAGCTGAAGTTTAAGGCTTTGCATACAGACTTTTAGGTTTGGAAGGGTTTCAGAAAGTTGGCAGCCAGGATAATCAGTATATAGTACAATCATAGGACCCACCACTCTCCCAAGCATTATACCAACGTTCAGGCTTCTTTATTCACTCCACACTGCCTCAAGTTCTGAATTTGGACAGCCCCGTTTAATCACTGAACCTTTCACCCTGAAGCCACAGCTCCTCGCTAAAGGCGGGGGCCACCAATCAACACAAGCTTTCCTGACACGGGGCTTCATGGCAGTTTCGTTCGGTAGGAGCTTGAAGATCAGAAGTATGGGCTGCGAAGGTAGGCAGTGTCCCTGTAGTTCACACCGATAAGGACCTCCTTCGAACTTATGTTCGAACAAGCTGTTCGGCTCTAGGCAACCCTGCGAGTCCACTCTGAAACTATTTAGAGAAGCAAAATTGTAGAGAATTGGTCCCAAATCCTTTTCTGCCTTCAAGAAACTCCAGCAGAAGTGGTAGTAGGAAGAGTAGCACCGCCTTCATCCCAGGATCTCTACATGGGTGGCCAGACGTCAGACCTTGTGGAGCTAGTCATCCGGCGGGTGCCGTGGACGAAATATAAAGCTTAACCCTTAGATCCCATGTGTACAAGTCTCTTAGGGGTACTTGGAAATCGTTTTTAATTTTTGGTTATTATAATCCCTACGAAACAGCTAAAATTATGATTTTTGCTAGGGTTCTAAGTTTAGTATAGTTGTTTAATTACAAGGCTCTGAGGTCGAAGTCTGCGGTTTGATGCTCACTCAGGGTAGTTCACTGTGGTTATGGGTTGGGCATTCAACGGGATCCGGCAGAAGGACCTTTCATATGGGGCCATCAGCCGGTCTAGTGTATTAGCAGATGTTCTTGCAATCTCTAGTATCATTCTTCAAGCCTCTTTCATTTAAACCCGAGTCACCATTCCAATTTTTCAGGCCTCTATATCACATTACAGAGCATGGGTGAACCTTGTCAACAGTTGACGCAGCCCAGAATGTGGAGCCGTCACGAGGTGTAGTCGAAGTCAAGTACACATCTGCTTTGACGAACGGGCTAATTCCCTTGAGCCCAAACATGAAAGCTCTATGTCTATGGCTCTCATATGAACTGCTTCACGATCTGTCACACGTTCTGCGAAACCACATGTGCATCTACATCCACATGCCTAGCAGTCGGTCGTGCAACCTGAGAAGCATGGTCTCCCGAGTCTAGACCCTTTTTGGGACTTAGGCTTCAGGTTCAGGGTTTTGGGTTGTTAGGCCTTTTAAGGGTTCATGGGCTCAATGCATTCTGCTTTGAGAGTTTGTGGGCGTTTTCGATCGGACGAGTGGATTCAGGGTTAAGGATTTAGGCCTCAGAGCACGACTTAGGTCAATGGTGCGGTGCAGCCGGATCCGCTGATAGCCGAGCTGGAGAGGTCCAACCTGCTTTTTTCATTCCTCGAACCGTTGCAAAGACCTGCATCATTGCTGCTGCTGCTGCTGCTGCTGTTGCTGTCCGTGGTGCTGCTGCTGTTGCTGCTGCGGCTGCTTCCGCTGCTGCTGTTATTGGTGGTGGTAGCGGTGGTGGTGGTGGCGGTGGCGGTGGGGGTGGTAGTGGCGGCGGCGGCGGCGGCGGCGGGGCGGCGGCGGTGGTGGTGGTGGTGGTGGTAGCGGTGGTGGTTTTTGCTGTTGCTGTCGTCGTGGTGGTAGTCCTACTCTCTGAGACCACGAGCACCCTGTAAAACCTTAAGCCGCAAACTATACATCCCGAGCACCTAAACCCTCCAAACAACAAGTCAAGAAACTAAGCCGTCCGGAGGTTTTTGGACGAGTACGCCGAGCCTTTAGTCGAGCGTCTCTGGCGCATGCTTGCGTTGGAGATGATGCCCGGCCTGCAGACTGGGGTTTGGGGTCTTCCGTTGTGTTGAGGACTTGGGGTTCATATAATTTGTACGGCGCCTTGCGGCTTGCATATCTCTTAAAGTTTGGAGGCTTGTTTGAGGTTTGTTTTCGGTTTTGAGGTTGGACGTGCGCTTTTTCTTTCAGTCTTAGTCTTTTTGCTTCTTCGTTTGGTAGTATCGTCATTATTTATGTTGTTTCTACTTATTGTGTATTTACTATGATTGGTTAGTATGTTTTACTCATTGTTGTTATTAGTATTATTATTATTACTATTATTACTATTATTATTACTATTATTATTATTATTATTATTGTTATTATCATGATAGTTATTTGTATTTGTTTTGTATTTACAAATATTAGTCGTAGGATTACTTTAGTTCCAGGTTTGAGTTTTCATGTATTTCAAGCTCTGCAGGGCAGCAGGATGTAGGAGAGTTTGTGGTGGGCCTTCCTGGAGTGGGATATTTGGGTCATATCAGTCCTGGGAGGTAGGACTCTGGGTTTGGAAGATTCCGGTCGTAGTCGTCGTCATCGTCGTCTGAGCAGTAGTGGTATGTAGCGGTGGTAGTAGTCGCTGTCGTCTTCATCGTCGCAGTCGTACTGGTACTGGTGCTGGTAGCAGCAGTGGTCGTGGGTGTATTGGCTCTAGCTGTTGTCGACGTTACCGGGTTATTCTTATTATTGGCAGCAGTAGTCGTGGTGATGATGGTGGTGGTGGCAGTGCTTATGGTAGAAGTCCTGTTTCTGGCACACTGAGCTACCTATAGTCTCCATTGTAGTTCCTTTAAATCTGGTTAAACGATAATATAGGATCCACCAGAAAAAGGAACTACAATGGGGACTATAGGTACTTAGAGACCCAAACCCTACCTGGATTGCACCCGAAGAAGCCGCCAGCATCGAAGGATGCAGAATGGCATTGCCCTCCCCAGCGTGGTGAAGCGACAAAAGAAGGCCCACTGCCATTGAGACTCTCACCTTTGGTTAGTATGGAATGGAAGAATGGTAGTAATTGTAGGTATAATTGTGCCCATTCCTCCATTCCCTATACTAACCAAAGGTAAGGATTTCGGGCTCTTTGGATCCAATTAGAGAGGAACATTGTCCCGACATGTCGATTATCTGCACCGCAGACTCTCCGCAGCAGTTCGATATCGTGGCGTGTCTCATACGTTGGCGGGGGGTTAGTAGGGAATGGAAGAATGGTAGTAATATAATATTCCTCCATTCAATACTAACCTAAACCCTACTACCCTAAACCCTAAACCCCATTCTTCCATTCCCTACTAACCCAAGGTAAGAATACGACCGGAGTCCTGGTGTTGAACAGGATCAGACGTAGAGCCTCAAGTGTTCTTCGCGACTCTCGGCGGCTGAGCAGCTGGCGTTTCATGGGCACATGTAACCCTGGCATAGGTCAAAAGAACAAAGTTGTGAGCCGCGAACGCAGCAACCAGGAAATCAACAGCCGAAGTTCCAGCTTTGCCGACCAGGAGGAGCTGAAAGAAGAGAAGTGAGCAGCAGCGAGACTGCTCCTGTCTGCGTATTGCCGTTTAGAGCTTGGGTTCTAGGGTTGGGTAGTGGAATACAGGGTTTATGCCTTGGGATTCTCACGGCATGCGTTCAGGGTGCAGGTGTTTGGAGAAGCTCCGGAAACTTGAACTCTAAGTTGACAGACGAAGCGCTGTTACCGAGACCCACGGCCCTACACGGCCCTAAATGCTACTTAACAGCCTCAAACTCGAAACCAGAATAAGGCTGAATGTCTCTCAGGGCTTCATGTGCGGGGTCGATTTCAGGAGAATTTTTGGTCGGCATTCTGCATTCCCAACCCTACTCCTCCACTGATTCTCTTGTATCTTTTACATGCAGGGTCAAGAGTCCCCCCCTCAAAAGCAAACCAAGTAGTAGAGTAGGCAACCTTTAACCTTTTTTTGGGTAGTATAGTCCCTATTTAATCCATATACATACATAACCAAAAAGGTTAACCTTTAGTTCCGCATGATACCCGACAAGTAGGCAAACACTAGGCTGTCAGGTAGGAGGGAACACGGGCTTTTCACATCTGGGAGCTCTCTGGGACCCCTGTGACGAGGATGTAGCCCAAGTCTGGTTTAGGGTTTAAGGCTTTTAAGGTTTAGGGTTTAGGGGACAACCCATTGTCGAACCGAATGTCGAAGCTTTACGACTGGTTTGGTTCCCTGGGCTTTTGCGCCAACTATAGGCAGTCGTTCTCGATATTCAAGGGCAAACGAGATTCCGAAAGCCTTGCGTTTACGGCAGGGGTTCCCAGCTGTTGAAGCCCTGTACTATTTGGAGGATCAGGGGATTCGTTACTATGATATTCTTACATGCGGCTTTTCTCTTGATCCTCCGCAGCTGCCAAATCGAGAGCCTGCTAGGGCGTGGAGGAAAAAAATGGAAGATTGCTACGGCTGTTAAGTTTCGTTTTGGATGGTGGGTGGCTGTGGAGTTCCAAATCCAAGTATGGTCTATAAACCCTAAACCAAATTAGTAGGACTCTTGCTTTGAGGACCCAAATGGGGGTCCACGGAATGGACTTGAGCTTCCAAAAACCTTCAATGAAGGAATATACCCGCCTTCTGCTACAGTAGGATCCCGAATATGATTCACATGAAATTCCTTAATTAAGGGGACGCTGGAAGGTCTGGGTGGTTGCGCGAATGTTTGAGGGCTTCTTGGTCTGAAGCTCTAGGACCCAGAGTAGGCCCTTATTCCCTTTTTTAGGGTTTGGGTTCCCGTATAACCCCCTTTAAGCCAGGCACCCTTTTTATTCCCAGGTTACTCTTAGGTCTGAAGCTTGTGTTTGGTGCAGGTGGGCCACCCACGGGAAGTGAGAAATGGCCCATGAGGCGCACTAGGGGTTTACAGGGAACTCCAGAAAGTTGGAATATGGTTTCAGGGTAGGATACCCTATAATTAACCATAGAAGGGTTTAGGATAATCATATTCCAACCTTTCTGGCTTTTACTTTAGGGTTTAAGGCTGAGGATTGGGGGGGCTCAGGGCTCTGGGGCTTTGGGGCTTTAGGTTTTAGGGCTTCAGGGTTTTCAGGGTTTAGGGATGTAGGGCTTTAGGGTTTAGGGTCTACTTGGAGGTTGATGGGTAGTTGTAAGTGGGGTTGCAAGGCCCTCAAAATGGGTTATAGGTATAGTTACCCGACCTACAACCCTACTTATAACTACCCATGAACCTCCAGCTAGGGATTCTGGGTTTGGGGTTTTAGGTAAGAGGGTTTAGGGCTTAGGGTTTAACATAAGGATGATATGACTACTATCAGTATCCCCTCTTAACTATGGTCTAGTAGACCCCAAAGCCTGCTTGAAATCATTAAAGCATTCATATTTCTACACATGCATTCATTCATGTTTCTACACCAACAGTGGGTCTGGCTGTATGGAAAGCTTGAACCTTCAGCTACCGGATGGCCGCGCCGCAACAAAACGACTGCCCCTTCATGCTGTGGCACCCATTGGACTGCATACTCTCTGGGGTTTAGTGTTGAGGGGGTTGTGGTGTAGAGGTTTAGGGTTCAGGAGTTTCATGTTGATTGGTAAAGAAGCGGATCTCGAAGTTTGCCGCCTGCAAGGGAGGAAATCTCGTGTCCATTTTGGAGGGTGATCCGGCTGGCACCCTCGGTGCGTGTTCCCTAATTTTCGGAAAATCTGAACCCATATAGAGCCCTTGAAAGGAACCCTTACAGTAACCCTTTAAAGGAACCGTATGGTACCCCTAATTTTCGGAATCTCCCGTTTCTGTGTTTGAAGAGGACCTCGGCCTGACCTCTGCGTAGCTGATTACGTTAGCTTCGCAGCCTCCCCGAAGGGTCCACATGCCCAAATAGGGGTTCCTACAAGGGCATTAGAAGGTGTAGGGTTTAGGGTTTCAGGGTCCATGTAGCCAAATTGTATATACTTTGGCCTTAAATTAGTCCCTATATAGGTACATTGGAGCTTAAGTATACACTATTTGAGTACATGAACCCTTGGCTTGTTGGGCATGTACCGTCCCATATACTCCGGCCACACTTACGAGATTAATGTGGTTTCCGAAAATAGGGGTACCTTTCTGGGGGGTCCTTACAATAAGGATCCTACTATTTAGGGTATTATGTTAGGGTCCCCTATTTTGTCGCAGACATCACTAACAGTTTCTGCATGTTATATCTATGGTATTGAAGCTTGCCCTTAATCAAAAAGTCCGGAGTACGAAATCCGTGTCTCACAGCCTCCACACCTAATCCGAAGGACTCCTTGGATCCTAACTTTTTCATTCCCATAAGTCCCATCTTAAGCCCTTCAGCCTTTGAAGCCCTGAGCTACTTGCATTATTTTCTACCCTGCACTGCCAGTGCAGGAACCCTGTTAAAACCCCAAGCTGGTTGCAATTCCATTCAAAGGTTAGGATCCGTATTGAGAGCCTTCACAGCATCTAAGGCAGAATCTAAGGGGTTTTATACTCCCCCAAAAGATTACATAGGATCGGAATGGAGGCCCTCACACCCTAAACCCTCACAACATCTAAGGGGTTCTCAGCGAGCGTCGTTCTTCCATTATCATGTCTACACCCCGCCGTTCCGAGCTCCTTAGCCCTAGATCGCGCACGGTCTTGGGGTTTAGTGCTTTACAGTTTAGGGTTTAGGGATATCTGGTTTAGGGTTTATGGTCACCCTGTCTAAGATCACCCATCGGCAAGCCCACGGACGCTATTCGGCAGTAGCACACTCTTTTTGTTGTCCAAGTCTCCCATTGATAGTGAGTAGCAGGAATGTAATGTAAGGGTACCTTTTTGATACGCGGCGACTTAGGCGTCGAGCCGCAATTCGACTTCAGAGCTCTTGTAAACCTGCGGGCTGTTCCGGGCTGACTGCCAATCCCCTAGTAAACCCGGCACAATCGTCAATGGCTTGCTTCCAGCTGTGCCCCCTGGAGAAGCAACACTGGACAGTCATCCGTTTGGGCTGCTCGGCCTTACAGCTGGGCCTCATCCTCGGACTGGAGGCTGAAACCGCCACCGGGCAGGCGGTGTTGATGAGATACCAGGGCGGCTCGGGCGTTGGGTCTGCGGTCTCGACCCTGCTGCAGGTGAGCAAGAGCGATGCCTACCAGACAAACGTCGCGAGAGACCAATGCACGTCGTGATCCCGGCGCTCAATCCTATAGCGTCATTCTCGGTGGGTGTGCTCAACTAGGCGTCCACTGCAACCTGCGGTTGAGTTGAAAGCCATCCTGCTCGTCAGAGGTACTCCTGCAGGTGTGAAACCGAACTCGTCCAAGGAATGCAAGTTGGACGAGGAACTGGCAAACATTTCGGGCAATCCGAATTCCGTCCTGAACATGGTCAGCAATGCTTGGCATGTCCTGTGCCCAACTGTTCTTTGCATTTTTTGAAACAGGACAGGCTGTGATGCCACATGTGCGAACCAGTCTAGTAGCCGGAATGAGCTGATGAATAGCCTGTTTTGTCTTGTGGTCTCTTCTGTACGCTGTGTCTGTCTTACTGGTTTAGTATTCCGTGCGGGTATCCTACAGCCATTCGTCAGCATGCTCCAGTCGGTGATATGCGAGATTAATGTGATTGTCCGTTTGGTGGTCCAAGGGCCCCGGTTCTTACATGCCTTATGTCCGCATATGGTGCTGTTCCGGGAAGCTCGCATGTCACTCCCAACGTCAAAGAAGCCCCTGACCTCATGAATGCGTGCCTGCCCTGTACGAGTGTGCGAGTCGAAAGCCCTAAACCTCTAATTAAGTCTCTAAACCATAATCCCGAACCCCAAAATCTTATGCCCTACAAAGGCAAACCCTAAACCCATATCCCTAAACCCTGCAGAACCCAATAGCCCTGTGAGCCTGGAAGGGCGCGATGCCTCCTTTGCTGCCGAAGCTCGAGGGTCCCAAGATCTCAGCGCCGGGGCAGCCACTCGGCTCTACTATTTTATACACTTACCACAGCCTACTAGAATATACGATACTGTACTATAGTCTTATATAGAGGAAAATAGTTTCTAGGGGTAATTCTCTAAATTAGGGTACCGATTAGAAGTGTGCCGTAATATTTTTGGGATTTGGGACCCACAAAGCGAACCTGGTTCAGAGAACTACCTACATGGTTTAGGGAGGTTCCTGTGGTTTGCATCGAAGATCTTGTTTGGGGTTACCGTATAGGATCCGATACATGAACAGGAATACTGGTACGATAACCTACGGAGACTACAGGTGCGAGAACCGACTTTAAAGGAATATGCTAGAGTGCGAGAATATACTGTGACCTACCAGACTGTAGTGTATTCTGATATACTCTGTTGCCTCTTTGATATAATACAATACCACCCACTAGACTCACTAGACGACAGCATACTGTAATGTATTTACATATGCTACGACATACTGTAACACATGTTTATGTACGATAAGATGCTGTAGTTCAGTATACGGTACAAGACTCTGCCGCGGCCGCCATGAGGTTTTTTCTCAGAGTTCAAAAGAGTCATATTCCAAGCCCAGAGGGTCCATACACAGTACTATTATGGAATTAGGCCCCCCTAAAACCATAATGAGGATGGTCTTTGGGGACCTGATTCCATAATAGTAGTGTATATGGACCCTCTGGGAAGGGTACCTAATCTCCGGGTGTTTTATCATCCCCTGGCCCTTGCGTGGGCTCAACACTTTCGTTTGAGAAGCTTCAAGCCCCCTAAACCCTAAGCCATCCTAAACCGAAAAGAGGCGCTTAAAAAAAAAAAAACATCCTAAACCCCAAACCCCCTAAACCCGAAAAGTTTTTGGGGGGATAGCAGACGCCCCAAAGACGAAGCCCTGAAATGCTGAAAGACGCAGACTCCAAAGCATTGCAACCAAGGCGCATTTTCTAATCTGCGGAAGGGACAACGTTTAGGGCAAAGTTTAGGGTTTGCGGTTTAAGGGTTCCCAGAGCCTCCAAAACCCCTTACTTAAGGAATATACCTTAAATCATATTATGGATCCTACTATACTTTAAGGTATATTCCTTAATTAAGGGGTTTTGGAGGCTCTGGGTTGATAGGGATCCTGGATCAGAGATCCGATCTTGCAAGGATTCTTCGACCCCTAAACCCTAAACCCTAAACCCTAAACCCTAAACCCTAGCCTTCGGGCTTGCGAGCCCTCTGTGCCCTAGCCCCTACGCCCTTAACCCCTAGTCTCCAAAACGCTGAACAATGTGGGAGTTTCCGAAAATAGGGGTGCCTTATTGGGGGGCCCTTATCATGAGGATCCTACTATTTAGGGTAGTATGTTAGGGTCCCCTGTTTTCGGAAACTCCCATATAGTTACCCTAAGCCCCGAGAACCTTACACCCTAAAACCTACACCCTACATTGCTTCACCCTCCTAGAGGTTCGGAACGGCCGAGTCGCTGACGCCAGGCGAGAAGAAGTTTTCGGCGCACTTGCTGATGTGTTTATGTTTTTGCGGGATTTGTGGGCCCGCAGCTGTAAATGCCCAAACCGTATTGGGGTGGACGGTGCTACGCTAGGAGACGGGGTTAGGGTGGCTGGGGGATTTTTTTGGAGTTGAGGAGTTGCGAGTGAAATCGCTCTCGGAGTTCGAGTCGGGCTAAGGTTCTGAAAGTGTGGGCACAGGGTTTAGGGTTCAGTGGTTTCAGATTCGAGTTTCCAAGGTCGGAGTCTCAGTGGCCCAAAGCTCAAATTTTCAAAATTTTGGGACTCTTGTCAGGTAGTCTTATTCGAAAGTTTGAACTTTTGTCGCCATAGGTATTTGCGAAGTAAGGAGTTTGGCTTTGCGGGATTGTAGGTCTTCAACTTTCAGGATGTTGGCATCTGGGGTTCAACTTCGGGGATACTTGGCCATCTCCCTGCGAGAAGTTACTGGCGCAATTTGTGACGGTAGTACCAAGAACGGTCTGCACAAAATGCACTCACACACTGAGCGATCACGACGCCTTGCTAAAGCGCGGCGACTGGTCAGCAAACATCCCAATTTCTTCTTGCAGCGGAGTTGAGTACCCAAACATAAACCATTTGCGGGGGGACTCGCAAGCCACCATTCATTCGGTTCCACGATGAGTTCATCCTATAGAGCCCAAGCATAGTTATCACAATGGCAAGGCACCAGCAGCTTGTTCCAGACAAGCCCAAGACTTTGACACCGTTTGACAGTACAGTCACACCAGTCACACCAGTGAAGGTCACGGGCATGATCTTCCTGACAAGTGTCAGTGAGCAAGAAAGCTTGAATGAGCCAGGGACTACACTGGTACTTGTTCTCAGATCCCCAATACCTAACCTTTAAACTTTTTGGGCTCTTATAGTTTAGTAGGAATCGGAAAGTTTAACCTTTTATTTCTGTGGCTTACTGGGGCAGTAAGTGTTGCGCAATCAATCTTTGTTGTTGGCTTGGGCTAATCCGAACCCGGACTTTTGAGGCTTCAGGGTGCCACTCTACTGTTACTATAGGGGCCTTAATACTTACCCATACTATTTTGGGGATGTCTTATTATGATTATAGTATTATGGGGCCCAAAAAAACCCTATTCTAAGCATTAAGGCTCCTGTATTACAGGGTTTACACATTCGGACTCGGGGTTGAGCCTTGCGTACGAGCGAGCAGGATGCATCTTCTCAGGTACTTGCAACTTGTGGTTCAGGGCCAGTGGCCCAATCTTTGCATGGTGTTTAGGGTTTGTGATGGTTTACAGCTTTCGGAGTTGATTTTCCGTCTAGGGTTTAGGGCACAGTTTCAAATAACCATAGGCCCCATACTGGTTCCTTTCCGGGATTACCTTAGATGATTCTTATGTATGAACCACAAAAAGGAACTACTTTGGGGCCTATGGTCGAGCACAAGCAGCCCTGGATCCCAATCCCGAACGCCAGTAGTGGCCGCGTCCTCGCCCTCGACAGTGTCAATTTCTTCCACGCGCGACGGGCGAATTGCCTGCCCGGCCACATTGTGGGTTTAAGTGAAGGTTTGAGTAATTGCAAATTAGACATCTTTCCAGTCGCAAGACGACTGTAAGAGTCTCACAGCCTTAACTACATCACGAGCATTTCAAGTTCCATGGGAGTCTTGAGACAACAGACCTCCCGACCCAAATCCCCAAACCACAAGCCAGACAGAGAAGACTAGCATGGCCTTGCGCAAGGATGACATGCACAAATCGAGAAGTGTACCAAGTGAAGACCCCACATCCCCCCCACATTTCTTCCCCTGCATTCGGGCCTGAAGAAAAGCTGTCTAGCTTGTCGGAACCCAGAAGCTTTGAAGCCTGAATTTCACCCCTTATGAAACATAAAATTGACATGGCCGGCGTCGCCTGGTGGTTTAGAATACAGGGGATGTTTCTAAGGACCAACATCCACATGAACATCACCCCCATTGCCGCCGTAGGTTTTGCGAGTAAACACGTTTGCGAGTAATCCTCTATGAGTAGAAATTTACGAGTAAAAACCCAGTGTAAAGACGTTTGCGAGTTTTTTTGCTAGTAATCCTCTATGAGTAGAAATTTACGAATAAAATCCCCGAGTAATCACGTTTGCGAACATTTTTTGGGAGTAATCCTCTATGAGTAGAAATTTTGCGAGTAGAAACGAGGAGTAAAACAGTTTACGAACTTGTTTTTGCGAGTAATCCTCTATGAGTAGAGATTTTCGAGTAAAAACCTGAGCAAAGGAGTTTAATTACGAGTGTATAATCCGGAGTAATTATGTTATTGGGATGTTCAAGGGCATGATCCGCCCCATGATTATCACTTTCGCCCGTGAAGACCATGAGGCCCGACATGGGCCATGTCAACCATAAAACCCATACCCTGAGCCTCAACAATTATAGAGTAAGCATATGCACAGTTAGCACACAAGTAAATTGAATTAAGGAAGATTGTTATAGCTATCAGTCAGGCCTTATCCCCCTATAGCTTTGACCACCTCAAGGGCTGAGGAAGTTTCCAGGTTCAGGAAATCGGGCGTGGGAGAAACTCCGCTTGTTCACCATTTGGGAGTTTCCGAAAATAGGGGACCCCAATATAGTACCCCAAATTGTAGGATCCTTATTATAAGGACCCAAAACAAGGTACCCCTAATTGTCGGAAACTCCCATTTCATGTCGGCTCAAGTAGCATCGTTGATGTTGGTTTGAAGTTCATCGGGTGGTTGTTGGCTGTTTCTGTGATTTGGGGTTTAGGGTTCAGGGTAAATCCCGTCATCAAGCCCGGAATCAAAAAAAAAGTAAATCCCGTAATTGTGACCCCTGATATCTGTGAGCCCGAAATCCGACCACATGCCGAGACTCGACTGGCGGACGAAAGGTCATGAAACCAAGCATAGAAGAATCGCGTAAGTCCCAAGCTCTATAGTGCAAAACCAAACTTGCTTCGCTTCCCCGTCCTCTTTGCTTTGACCATGGCGATCTAGGTAGGGCTTTGGGACATTTTATATTTTTTCTGTTGGGCTTAAGAGGATCTCATGTGCTAATATTTTTCAAAGCCTTTAAAAGCCCCACCTAGCTTTGCTTTGACCATGGCGATGGAATGGCGCGGCGTCGACCATGGTTGGGCTCAGGTGGGATCGGGTTTTTGGAGTCGGTTTAGGGTTTAGGGTTTAGGGTTCAGGGTTCAGGGTTTAGGGTTTAGGGTATGGTTGGGCTCAGGTGGGCTTAAAGGGGGGCTTAGAGGGGGGGCTTAAAGGGGGGCTTAAAGTCGGATCGGGTTTTTGGATTCAGGATTGTGGAGCAGAAGGGTGCAGGGTGTGGAACTTAGGAGTGTTCTCAAATTGCGAGCTCCAGAATGGGAGTTTCTGAGGATGAGGGTCTGTAAAGCTCGGATCAATACCAGCGGATCCGTTGTCTGAAAATTCCAGGACTGTTTTCGGGTTGGGGTATGGGGTTCTTCTGACAGCCTGTTCTGGTTGGGTCCGGCGGTTGAGGGTTTGGGGTGAAAGACTTTTGGGTTTTGGGTGTAAAGTTTAAGCGTCAAAGCTCTGGGTTTGGGGAATGCCTTTGCATGACACCAAGGGTTGACATGTTGTCCTTCCTATAGAGGCTTAAATCACTGCACCTATATACTATTTTTTGGGGGGGATCCTTATTATAACTATAGTATAACATACCCCCAAACCCTATTCTATTCTAATTGTTCAGGCGCCTATAGTACTCGGCCTCCAGTAGTTGGCCGTTTGCTTCTTTGTAAAGACATGATTTTCGCGAACTGGCACTGGTGGATTCAGGCAAGGTCATTGTAGCAGCTGTGAGAACGGTATAGTTGATAGTAGTTGGAGCAACTACTAATGCTACTGCTACTGCTACTGCTACTGCTACTACTACTACTACTGCTACTACTACTACTACTGCTACTACTACTACTCCTACTACTACTACTACTCCTACTCCTACTCCTACTCCTACTGCTACTGCTACTGCTACTGCTACTGCTACTGCTACTACTACTACTACTACTACTGCGACTGTTGCCACTGCTTAGCTGCTACTACTCTTGCTGCTACGACTGAAAAGAACTTTGAAGCCCCTCGACCCCAAAGCCGTACGCGTATCTATTCTCAGGAGCAAGCGCCCTGGCTCTGCTGCCACCTGAGGTTTGGGATGAAGCCCTGTTTTCGGGGGTGTGGCTGCAGATGTAATATTGGGGCCTTAATGATTAGAATAGCGTGCTGGGGCCCATTATACTATAATTCTATAACCAGAATAAAGAACCACCCCAAAAACAGTATAGGTATATAATTATTAAGGCCCCTCCAGTGGGATGTTTTTTTGGGCACGGGGTTGCCGGCTTTTCCGTTCCATGGCTTAGGCTTGCCAGCTGCAATGTTTGAGGGCTGCAAGAGTTTCGCACTCACCAGGTTCGTAGTTCCAGAGCCTATGATGGGGCTTCGTGATTTTTGGGAGTTTCCGAAAATTAGGGGTACATTATTTTGGGGTCCTTATAATATGGATCCTACTATCTAGGGTACTAAATTAGGGTCCCCTATCTTTGGAAACTCTCGTTTCGCGACGGCTTGGGTGGTTAATGTGGTCGGGGACTCAGGTAGCAGGGTTGAGAGGCATACTTTAGGAGCTGCCCCCACCCTGTAATATATAATAGGAATATAATAGGGCCCTAATATACTCCTATATAATCATTACAGGGTGGGGGCCCCTTCTGAGGCATACTTATTCATAGTGTAGAGGTCTGGTCTTCAAGGTCTAAGGGAGGGTGCGCTGAGTGCTGAGAAGTCAAGTCAGGGATGTAGATTTCGGCGTTTCAGGCCAGATTCAGTGTTTGGACCAACAAGACCGTAAAGCTCCACCGCCCTACGCCCTAGACCCGTGTTAGAACACCCTGAAGCCTAAATCCCTAAGCTCTGAACCCCTAAACCCCTAAAGCCCAAACCATTTGCCTCGCCTGGATTGTGCTTTCGCCGAAACCCCAAAACCCTCAAACCCCAAAACAGCTCCCTAAACCCTAAAACCTAAACCCTGAACCCTAAACCCTAAAACCTAAACCCAAGCCCTAAAACTTAAACCCTAAACCAAAAACCAAACCCTCAAGCCGGGTTCGTGGATCGAGACGGGGTCTGGCCTTGGGGTTTTGGATGGTAGTGCCCGGGCCTGACGAGTTTCAGACTGTTTTAGTTTTTTTTTTTTTTGGCGGATTTGTGGTTTACAGTTCAGTGTTTAGGAGTTAGGGCAGATTTTGGAAGGAGGGTTGGGATGAGGGTTGAGTTTGCGGCAGGAGAGAATCTAAATGAAATGACTTGAGTGGGTCTGATAGGGTTTTGGGGTATGTCGGAAAGTTAGAATCAAAGCAAGGCCCATAAGTTTATGAATGAAGGGATACCGTTGTATTGCTTTAGGCCGCTATGCAAGGTAATTCTTGGTCCAAACTTGTTGAGAAACGGGTTGGCTTCTGGCGAGTCTGCCTGATCTCTGCGCAGGCCATGGAGGGCTCGAGATGAAATCTCAATCTACATTCTGGCAGGCTTAATTTGGGTTTAGGGTTTAGGGTTTAAGACCACGGCACCTTCATCAGGCCCAAAACTCACACTTTGTAATGTCGGTCCCCAACTTCACAATGTCGGCCTTCAGTGCGAAGGGCCAGACTGACAAGCACAGCAGAATGGTAATCAGACAAACGCCAACAGCAATAGCTTGGCCAAAATTATCAGTGCGACTTACCCATAGGCCCCAAAGTAGTTCCTTTTTATGACACATATATATATATAGAATCCTATAAGGTAGTCCCAAAAAGGAACTACTATGGAGCCTACTATGGGTAGCCCTATGTACCTCTTCAACTCTAAGCTGTATAAGACTGATCGCATTCTTCGGGGATCCGACATGCAGATCTTTGGAGATCATTAGCAATGGAAATGTGACCATTACTGTTTTCACTACAAATGACAGTAACGACGATAACAGCAGTAACGGTATTAGTGCAACATCGACAAGAATGATAATCATGATCAGAAGAATAGAAATAGCAGGAATACTAACAAGAGTAGTGTATAAAACGACAAGAATGGTACTGTGCAGAAGCGTAGGGGTAGTAAGAATAGAGCGACAATGCCATGGTACTCTGGAGGTGCAAACCTCTGGAAAGGCGCTAAGAAAAAGCGAGACTTAGATCCCCAATACCTAACCTTTCAACTTTTTGGGCTTTTATAGTTTAGTAGGAATCGGAAAGTTTAACCTTTTGTTTCTGTGGCTTATTGGGGCAGTAAGGAGACGACCAGTGGCAAGCAGAAGGCCCCAAGTTCCACTTCCTCTACTGGGATGCCTGTGGTGGAGACCCCGGAGGTTTCTTCCCTGGTATGGCCTTAATGGTTCCTTTAAAAGGGGCCGATAAGGGTTACTATAAGGGTACTATAATGTAGGGGCCTGGTAGTTACTATACTTATCTTCCCTGGTAGTTACTACTGTATAGGGGCCTAAGTAATGACCTACTGTTGTTGATGATATAAATCCTGCATTACCCATAATAAGGAATATACGATAAATCCCATAGTTTGGGGCCCTTAAGGTAATGCAGGATTTATGTCACCAACAGTACTAGTTACTTAGACGACCATGGGACTTAGTAAGTAGGGTTAGAAGTAAGGCAGATATAGTTATATCTACTTATAACCCCAATCAAGGTACTCATAACCCTACTTACTAAGTCCCATGATCCTCCAAGTAGGGGCCGAAGTAATGACCTAGTACTATTTTGGGGGGTTCCGAATTTGAATTTTAGTATATTGGGCCCCCCCAAACCCTACTCTAATTACTAAGGCCCCTATTTTAGGAGTTCTGACAAGGTGGTTTAGGGTTCAGGAGTTTAGGGTGTAAGAGTCTCCGAAGGCTTCTTATCTGGTGGTTAGGGGTTTAGGGTTGAGGGTCCGGAAGGCAGTGTCTAATTAGGCGACGCTCCATAATCCGTGTAGTTCGTAGTTTTTGGGGGCGTCCTCTCATCATGCGCAAACAAGTTGGCCGGAGTTTGCTTTTGGATTTCCTTGTCGCCAATCATCAGTCCTGATGGAATAGAGGATCAAAAAAAGCACGTTTTAGCAGGCCAAAGGCTTCGTCGGTTGGGCAGAGGGGGGGGGGAGTGTAGGATGAAGGGCCTTTTCTTGACAGTCTGCGTGATCGGTTTGGGTTCGAGGTGTTGGAGAGCTGCTGTACTACTACTGTACAAGAACTGGGCTATGGCTGTACTTGCGACTACAACCTCTGTACTACTGCTGTTCTACTACTGCACTGCTCTACTACGGTACTGGTGTCGTCTACGACGTATAGCTTCAAGGGCCTGTCTTCCTTGTACTGGTGCAGTGCCGGTATGCACAATCCTCACGCCCTTCTGAAGAGCCTAGCTGCCTCTACAACCCCAGTACCCGGACCCACACCCCACTAAATCCACTTAGGGGTGGTGCGGGGCCAAGAGATCACATTATTCAGGGCGCTGCGAAATGTTTGGAGGGAGGAGGGGGCCCACCAGGGATCAGTGGTGCTCATGCAGATCGGGATGATGATAACGTCGAGTCGAGTATCAACCTAGGGAACCTTTTGGTTTATACAGCACAGCTAGGTGTCTTGGTAGCCAAGGTGCGCTTAATTGTTGGTTTGACGCTTCAGCATACCTGAAATACTTTGTTTGGCGCAAGACCCTGGATACGCAAAACATCTTCGAAGAGTCATCCTCCTCGTTTTGACAACCACAGTCTGTTGATGCTGGCCAATATTGGGCTGAATAAGTTGGACCAGTGTTCCGTAGTGCTGCCTACAAATAGTTATTTTGGGATAAAAACAAGAAGTCCTTCGGGAAGGAACTCATATTCTAGACATCAAGTGCAGGGGTTTGACGGTTACGGGCTCTGTGAGTTTAGAGGTTTACCGGTCCCCTCGGCTTAGGCCTACGCGTCAAAGTGCCTCTTATCGGGGCTCCGGTTTTAGGGTTTAGGGGACGTCTAACCCTAAGGCTCCATGCACCCACAAAATAACACTTAAGCCTTAAAGGGGTCCCTATATAGATACTTTAAGGCCTAAGTATCTACTATATGGGTACATGGAGCCTTTGGGTAAGGAAGCGTTTAGGGAAAAGGGCAACAATAAAGGCCCCAAGGGCGTACTTACGTTGCTATTGACTCCTGATCAGTATGAACCGCCGTGCCAGGCAAGGTGTCGGATCCCCATAAGGTAAAAGCCAGAAAGTTGGAATATCATTATCGCAACCCCTTTAAGGTAAATTATATTGGATCCTACCATGAAACCATATTCCAACTTTCTGGAGCTCCCTGTAAGCTAGCTATTGTCGGGCGCCCCAAGTGATGGAAGGTAGTAGGAGGAGAAGAGGCAGCAGAAGGAGGAGGAGTAGCCCATCAGCAGTAGCAGTAGCAGCAGCGCTCAGTGGCATCTGCCTGCGTGCAGTGCTCAGATTGTTCAGGCAAGAGCTGCACCTGCAGAAATGCATATAAACCCCTTTCCTAACACAAGCTTGAACTTCTTGTGGGGTGACAAATACGCAGGTTCCCACAGAAACATTCTATGTAGGCGGGGCTCACATCAGGTGTCAAAACTCTTGCCTACTAAACCCCACCTAGAGGTTCATACCCTATCCCTTCTGGGGTACGGTTAGGAAGAAAAGTGGCTTTAAGTACCCCCAAACACGGGGTAGGGTATGACCCAAGAGGTGAACCTTGAAGGCTCTGCGCCCCAAGCCCTAAACCCCCAAATCCCTAAAACCTCAAGGCCCTAAACCCTAAATCTCTATAAAACTCTAGAGAATTCCCAGGAGCCTCCATGAAGGCCCCAAAACGCCCCAAGCCCCAAACTCCAAATCCCTGAACCCTCAAGGCCCTTCTTAACCCCAAGTCCCTATAAACCCTAAAGAAATCCCACGAGCCCTATAAGCCCCAAATCCTAAAGCCCCTAAACCCTAAACCCTAAACCATGTAAGCGATTCAGTTTAGATTCTGCAGAGCCACGGTTTAGGGTTTAGGGTTTAGGGCCAAGCCCCAAATCCCTAAACCGTAAGGGCCCTAACCCTAATCCCTCCAGACGGAAGGTTTTTTAGTGGAAGAAGCTTATTCACCCCAAATCCCTAAACCCTAAAAGTCCTAAACCCAATTCCCTAAACTGCAGAGTGAAGGTTTCCAATTGGAACAAGCTTATTCGCTGGACGATGCGTTTGAAGCCAGGGAGCTGCACCTGGGCCCGGCGCTGTGCGAAGAATGCGGAGGGGTGACTTTGGTCTTGGGTTGTTTAGGAAAGTTTAGGGTTTTAGGTTTTAGGGTTTTAACTGGAGAGAGAGAGAGAGGGTTTAAACTTGGGCTCTCCCTTATGTTAGGTTCAACGGTTTTGTATGTGGAGTTTGGTCTCGTTTGTTTGTTTGTGAATAAACAGTTGGGAATTTTCTGCGGCCATGCGAGACCCAGCATCTAAGGTGATGGAGTCGTGGAGGCATCGCTTTGATATGATTCACTCCTGCATTCGTATGATCGCCAAGGAGGGTCATGGACTTCGTCCAGAGGTTCTTACCTTTTCAGCCATGTCCCCTGGGAAGTGCTTGATCTATGACATACACGGTTTCCGTGCCCACAATGCTTGGCAGAGAAAGAATGTCCTGACAGAATCGACCACCCTCGGGATACCCCTGCAAGTGGAGAACGGCCAGCTGGACGATACTTGCGGCGTCCAGGTGCTGAAATTCGACGACGACTCCGGAAGAGTCACCTATCTCAAGAACTTCACAAAAAAGGTGGTGCGCGAAGCCCATAATGAGGAGGGCTCTGCAGCACTACTGGTGGTAGACCCAGAGGGCGTAGAAGTGGCCTCTTTTGGCTTGGGCCCTAGCGGCCGTGGCTTCTTTGCTTCTCAAGCAAAGGAGAAGCCGATCCGACAGGTGCTGGTCTTGTTACTGGGTTGTGGAGGAATTTAGTTTTAAGTTGTATACCATAATCGAGATCTTTAGTCAATAATGTGGGTTCCTTCTTTTGGCAACTTAACTTAAATCCCTTAACAAGAACCGAGGTTAGGTCCCATCGATTGCAACCTCCCGGACGATCGAAAGGATCTCATTGAGGCCTGTTTGGAAGGAGGCTGCGACGGTCCTTTGCGCTTGGCTTTCACCTCCTGGAGACTGCCAAATGCGGCAGTTGGGGATCTGTTGATGCAGCATGATCGGTGTGAGCTACTCCCTTTACTGGAGGATCTCCGTGCAGTGGGCGAAGAGCAGTACAAGCTTTTCTTAAAGAGCTTTCAGATGACGCTCCAGGTCATGGCACTGAATTCCGATCAGCCGGATCTAATCAACGACTTCCACGAGGCTGCGAGCCAGAAGCCGGTGGAAGACCTTCCCCTGAGGCCGAGACCGCCGAAGCATCCCCCTCCCGCCCACCTTAAGGCCAAGACGAGCTCCGAAATTTTCAGCTCGGAGACTCAGATCCCCAATACCTAACCTTTAAACCTTGTTGGGCTCTTCTAGTTTAGTAGGAATCGGAAAGTTTAACCTTTTATTTCTGTGGCTTATTGGGGCAATAAGGAGAGGGAGGCCTCCACAGCCATCGAGGCCGAGCGTGAACCCCATGAGCCTCGGGAGCCACCGGAGCCGCCGAAGACTCTGCGGATGCTGCCCACAGCGAAGAAGAGGCCCTGGAAGGATGCTGCAGATCCGGAGGAGATAGGAGATGCGTTCCTTTGTCGTAGTTGGGTAACATTTTGCATTTTTATGGTTACTTAAACCCAATAAGGAATAACAATTAACATTTTTATTCCCATCCCAACAATGAACTAGGTTCATCAAGAAGGTTGATGAATGTGAGATGGTGCCGGATGCCACCGGTTAAGCAAAAGAGCCCTTCCAGCCATACGTTCTTGACGATTCAGGGAAGCTCCGGATACCGACATAACAAGGTACTGCGGTAGATTCCGGTAGATGTCCTATGGCTAGTAACCCGCTATTTAACTAACTGGAGCCCTAGAATGACATCTTCGGGTTTGCGACAGACGCAACGTGGCAAGTGTGTGGCGCTGCATAATGTAGGGACCTCTGTAATTACAACACGGCTTGGGGGCCCATTATAGTACAGTTGTAATAAGGAGCCAACCCCGAAACCCAAAATAAACCCTAGACCCTATAGACCCTAAAAAACCCTAAACCCTAAAACGAGTGGGAGGGACAAAACACCCTAAACCGAACCCCCAACAGCAGCCCATAAAACTGGGAGCTCCTTGGGATACAGGAGGGGCCGATGTTGCCAAGAGGGCTATAAAAGGGTCCTATAAAGAGTCCTATAAGGGCTACTTTGAAGGGTCCTATAAGGGCTACTATAAGGCTACGAAAAGGGCTACTATAAGGGCTCAGGGTAGGGTTTATAGTAGGGTGGTTGTCAAAATTAGAGTCCTTTTTTGGCTCCTTAAAATATAATACACCACTATGATTTAGGGCACCCAAAAAGGGACCCTAATTTTGACAACTACCCAATAGAAGCCCGAAAGTTGGAACATTTCTATAGGAGGATTAGTGATGGGATCCCTTATACTTTACCTTAAGGGCATGGGTATACGTGTTGCAAACCCCAAAACCCTGTACTTGACAATGCGGGCTTCGTCCTTGCTAGGTAGGTAGGAACAAACACCTGTTGGTACCTAGAGGCTCCAAAGTAGTTCCGTTTTGGGGTTCATATATAGAATCCTATAAGGTCATCCCAAAAAGGAACTACTATGGAGCCTATGGGTATGTTGTAAGTGCTTTTTCTGGGCAGGGCCGCCTTGCCTTGGCTCGTGACCTGACGATGTGAGCAGTTCTGGGTGCGTGTTTCGGTAAGGATTCGGGTTTACGATTAAGCTGTGCATGGGGGCTTGAATATGGTGTGTACATGTTGGTGTTTGAAGGGTGTTTTCAAACTTCAGGGTGTTTGGAGATTTCGGGTTTCGTAATTTAGGGTGCAGGGTGTTGGGTTTGTTTCGGGGGTTTGTAAGGTCCGTGGGTTCAGAGTGTCGTGGTTTAGGCAATAGCGTCCTTCGAGGCGTGGCTGCGGGGAGTGAACTCCGCAATTAGCCCAAGTGCAACGAGTGTTACATTAGTGTGGGATGTCCGAACCTCAGACACATAGCCGACATGCACTTGGGGTGTGCGTGGTTTAAAAACCCGCCAAGAAGTCTCTATAGCCCCAAGCGAGAGCTTTGGCACGTATATTCGTCCGGCTGATAGCGCATGCACTACAGAAGCCTGAAGAGTCCGTAAGAGTATTCCTCAGATTTCCTTTGTATTTATAGCACAATTTACCTCAAAGCGCTGTTGTACTTGTTTATCTTCTTGATTTCTTCGTTCCTGGCTTCTCTCGAGATCTCGAAAAGTGATTTATGAGCACGCAGGGAGACGGAAAAACAAAAAAAAACCTCAAAAATATCGTGCCTTTTCCTAGATACCGTATGTTAATTTTTAGAGCCTAGCCATGGAACAGCGGACAATAAAAATTCTTCAGAGGTATCAGGATCCTTCGCTCGCCAAGCCGTAGACCCTTAAACCCGTCATTCGAGAAACACACGAAATACCCTAGGCACTGGACCCTGAAGCCTTGCCTATATGGTCACACCCCTACCCGTAAGACTAGGTACACAAAAGGGTGAGTTATGACTGTCTATCTAGACCCCATAAACAGATTCGGGTTCGTAATAAGGACCTGCAAAGAGCAGGTTTGGTCGGTTCAAGTAGACGGTAACCGCCCTAAATTCTCGACCCGGTAAACGCAAAAACCCAGGAGAATTTGGTTAGCTGCTGCAGCTTGTGGCCCCAAATCCCTTGGCGACCCGCAAAAGTGGGAGTGACTTGGTTGAGAAAAAGAGGCGCCGGGTCCATATCTATATGTAAATACAGACATGTATACACATGTAGAAACACATGCATATATAGATGTGTATATATATATATATATATATATATCTGGATAACCAGATAGATAGCTAGCAAAGTTTCTTAGGCAAATGTCGATATACCTTTTTGTCTGTATAAGTATAGATAGGCCGTAGGATCACCAGAGTATTTTGCCAACCGCGGTTAGGATCCCACTTGAATTCAGTATCTTGTCGTGAACACCCAAAAAAACGGGTTCCACCCCGAAACCCCAAATGCCCAAACATCTGATTCTGTACATTCTGCGTTTGTCTAAGCATTTATTTTTAATTAAGATGTCAACCCTAAACCCCAACCAGTGCTCCCAATTTCCGCGCCTTCCCAAGATCTTCATCGCGCCAGACAGTCGCGAGCTCGTCCTGCGATGTGAAGCTGATGGCGCAGGACTTGGGAACCCAGCCCTTCTGTTGGGTTCTGACGATATAGGGTTTAGGGTTTAGGGTTTAGGGGAAATTTAGAGGTTCTCAGGCTTTCGAGCAAGGGCAAGAGCCTATGTTCAAGTTGTACTGGCGGAGGATGTCAGAGGTCCGCTTGGTTGTTGCGCTCGCACGGTTCAATCCTTTTCAAATCCCCTCCTGTGTGGCTTTGGTTTGGACCCCATCGGGAAGGATTAGGCTTAGGGTTCAGGGCATGTCTCCAGCCCACTGCTACTTCACCAGCGTTTGTTAATGCCTCTTTCGTTTACCTGTTCGAGCAGCACTTTCAGGAGCTGTAGGTTTGCAGTTAGGGCATGGTCCATGGTAGTACGAGTTAAGCATGAAAAGTTGTAGCGGTGGCAGCAGCGAAAGTCACACAAGGTCATAGCTCTCGGGCAGGGAGAGCCTGACATTTGGTAGGCGGCCTCGCCAATGCAGCCGATGCACATAGCGAAGGCCAGAAATTATGCAAAATGCGGAACCGGCATCAAAGAAAGCGTCGCACAGACCGACCTCATGCGAACAGCGGCTGCCGACGATGAAGACATACGGGCCGATCGGGTTCCGGTGTTTGACAAAGTAGGAACCGTCCACGATTGCAAATGATTGGCCATCCGCTGCAGCAGTTCGAATCCACAACACAAATGCGTGCCTGAAAGGGAGCCACCGATGATGGTTTAGGTGCAGAGCCAGCGCAGATCCCTGCGACGAAATGTGGTTGCATCATCAAGTTCATCGTTATTTCATAACTATGAATGACTCGTATCGACTGTTGTGGTCCGAGCACCAGAAGCCTTTATGAATGATCAAGTTGCTACGCAGCGACTGCCGAAGCTGCAATCGATTTACAACCAGGAAAAGGCCACGCATGCATAAGGACTTGTCAGGACATTAAACAAACGCACGCCCATGTCTTGCTCTTCTCCAAAGTGACCGAAAAGATAATCCTCCACTTTCGGTCGTTTGGAAGCATGGTGCTCCAACTTTGCAGTAGCTTTCTGCGCGTTGAAAGCAATTTCAAAGTGAATCTTGATGTGTTGTGTTGCTTTGTCGTTTCCAGACTCACAACTTAGAAGGAAAATTTATCTAAACCGGATAAAAAAAAAAGCTTAAGCCGCACACAAACCGTCACCCGCCAAACCCTACAAACCCCAACCCTTGGCAGACCCCTAGACTCAAAAGCTTCAAACGCCGAGCAGACGAGGCCAGGCGGTCTTCTGAACCATAAACCCGAAGCCCTGTAAGGCTTAAACCGTTGTTCCAAGACCCTAAACCGAATAAACCCCACGGCCCTAAGTCTCCAAACCCTAAACCCCTAAACCCTACATAACCTAACTCGGAAGACCCTACAGTTTTACGGACTAATTTAAAGAAATCATAATACGGAACTCCAAAAAGGTAGGTTGTTCAGGGTGAAGGTAAACCCGCCACGAGGCCAAGCGGTCTTCCGCTTGGGACAGCTCCGAAGCCTCCGTTGCCTCAGTTCGCAGCCGCCGGCCCTGGAGTTGCTGCTCGGACCGTTTTTTTTGTTTTTGTTTTTTTGTTTTTTCAATTTTTGTTTTTTGTTTTGGGGTTTGGGGTTTAGTTGCTGAAAAAGGGTTTAGGGTTTAGTGTTGTTTTTGGTGGGCGGGCGGGGGGAGGGAGGGGGGAGGGATTGCACAAATATACAAAACGGGTTTAGGGTTCAAGGTTTTAGGGTCTAAGGGTTTAGGGTTTGGGATTTGGGTGTAGAAGTACATAGCTCTATATGCCATTTAAAAGAATGCATACATGAAATGCATGCATATGTACATTTGTAGGTTTATAACCTCTAGGTGCTGCTGGTATGTGGATGTATACTTACATACACACAACAACAGTACATAAGGGCATACATACATACATACCTACATACGTACTTATGTACATACATGCATACATATACAAATATGCATGATCACGATTCGCATTTACATTTAGATGCATCGAAAAAGACAGTAATGTGCATAGATATATATATATATATATATATAGGTAAGTATTTGTGTATACACACATGCACACACACTCGCCTATGTATGGTCTTACTGCTGTAGTTTATTTTCTGTTTTGTGTCTGTCTCGTTGCTTGTTTATGGCCTCTGCTTTAGAGGTATCGTGGGCGGTTTCGTGGCTGTTACAAGTTCGGAAGCGGAGCCGAAAAAACGGTTCAAGGGAAGCCGGATTAAGGGGATAGGTATCCAGGCAGGCGCTGGGTTGCTGGGTTTTAGAGCTATACCCCAAGACTGTTCGTAGGATTGAAACCAGAAGGTCCGAATGTGTGGTCTCGTCGTAGACCTTTGGTGATATAAGGGGTGCAAGTTGTATGGCCTGAGCTTTTGCAGACCTAGGTCAGTTAGCCAGGCTGTTCAATCTGACGGATCGCGGCGCTTTCCCGTAATTATGGCAAAACCCAAAGGGTTGTTACACACAGCATCTCGGCCTTGGGATCCCACACAGAGGTAAACTACAACTTGCATCCCAAGGCATAGAAATAGGTTCTTTGACCGCGCTATAGCACCGCAAGAGCCGCAAGCTTTGCTGTCACTGCGACGCGAGGGTTTACACATGAGAACTACTCTGATGATTGATATTGGTGTACGGATGTAGATGCAGACATTATTATGGTATGTGTGTGTGCAATCAGACGGTTGACCAATCACGAGAAAATTTATACAGTTACATGCAGGTTTCCATCATTACAGGGTTACACTTAAAAAATTAAGTACATTTAGCTAATCATCTATATATATATATATATGTATTTTTTTATATTTATACACATACGCACATAATCCCAAGTAAGTAGTTGCACACGAACTCAAAATTTCATATACTTGTGAAAATAGTTACATACCAACGGTTGTGCATGATAAACACATTTGTATGAAATTATGTATATCATATCTGTAGAGCTTATAATCCTAGCTAACCAACCTGTAGGGCTTAACAAGCCGCAAGAGTGAGTGTCTTGAGAGTGTTCGGATGTTGGGTCGAGGGATGTCGACCTCCAGTACTTGACACATTTTCGGTGTAGGCCTGTCATCGCAGTTAGAGAGATGTGGGAGATGTAGTTGTGGTTCCAGGCTCGACTAAGCCTCAAATTTGCACCTCGTATTTAAGCTTCCCGTTCAAGTTAATTAGGGTCTAGGGTTTAGGGCGTGGTAAAGACAGCGTGGGAGTCAGGTATTTTCGGAGCTTGCGCCATCGACTGCAACTGCGAGCGTCAGACCTTTCCGAGAAGTCGCCGCTGTCGCAGTTGGTGTTTTCGGCCTTGTGTTGAGGGTTCAGTCTTTGGGCAGTGAATCGTGTTGCCATCTAATTGCATCTATTCGCCAATGGCAGTACATATTCCTAAAGAGTGATCGCCGAAAACCCAAAACGCTCAACCACCCTAAGTCATGGAACCTTACCTGGAGGCTCATGGGTAGCTATAAGTGTAGATATAAGGATTATAAGTATAGTTAATTTACTTATAACCCTGCTTAGAACTACCCATGAACCTCCAAGTAAAGCCGAAAAGCTGCACCCAGTACCCCGCCCTCCAACACGATTTAGGGTTAATCCTCCTGGATCACTTCGATGATTCCTTTGGGCATGGAGCTTTTCGGGCTTATGCGTTACAGGGAACTCCAGAAAGTTGGAATATGGTTTCATGGTAGGATACCCTATAATTTACCTTAAAGGGGTTACGATAATGATATTCCATCTTTCTGGCTTCTACTGTAACCCCTAGAAAATCCAGCTTGTTCAGGAAACACAGAAGGCAATCATACCAAGGAGCCAAGGAGGTCTAGACATTGTACGTGTTATAGGGTTCAGGTAGGGTTTCCAAGTCTTCATAAATGGGAGTTTCCGAAATTAGGGGACCCTGATATAGTACTTGTACCCTAAATAGTAGGACCCTTATAATAAGGACCCCCAAAATAAGGTACTCCCTAATTTTCGGAAACTCCCAAGCCTGCAGGGTACTGTTATGGGGGATACTTCCCTAAGTCATATCAGTATTTCCTGATATGGAAACCCTACATTCTACCATACCGGTACGTAGGACCCTTTGGGTAAGTCTGCTGGGGTTCCTCCGACCGAGGCCAAGCGAAGTAACTTGGGCACGATTCCAGCTTTTCCATGCCTTCATCGCGTGTCTTGCTGAAACGATGCAGGACGGAACCACGTCTGCTTTTTTTGTTTTCGGGTTTAGCGTAATCTTGAATCATTAACAAAAGTATTCCTTTAGGGTTCCTTAAATTGGTTTTCTTATACAAGTCCTTGAAACGGTAGGTTATTCAGGCTTAAGGTAGACCTCGAAGCCATAAACAGCACCCCCCTCCCAATAAACAAACGGATCCAGAACCTAAGCAACACCAAACACGCATCCCAGGCTGTTTTTGAGCCCTCATGCAACCCCCTAGAAGTCGTAAAACCCAGAACATGTTTTAGAAGCCCTACCCCTAAGCCCTCAAACCCAGACAATGTTCTAGAAGCAGGAGAACCGGGTCCGCATGGAAGCTGTGGAGTGGCCTATGCAGGTGACACAAGAGTCAGAGTTTGGAGTTTGGGGTGTAAGGTCCCAGGGTTTAGGGTCTAGGGAGGGTTTCTGCCGTGCTGAAAGGGAGGGTTTCTTCTACAGGCGCTTCCTTAGTTTCAGAATGGATGTTTCGCAGGGTGCTGGAGGGGGTGAGTCAAGCTTTCATAAACTTTCCTGGCTTTATTGGATTGTACATAGGTTTGTGATTATGAAGCTTTACACGCCTTTCTCGATTTTTGCAAGGTCTTAGCCACCAGTGGGGTGTCAGCTCAGATCGGCTTAGGGCTGTAGGAGCTAAAGGAAATAGGCTTAAGAAGCCCTAAACCCTAAACCCTGCTAAGGGTGCATGGTCGGGGAAGTGCAACTTTACAGTTGGACGCAATTTTTTGGGGCTTCAGCAGCTCCCATGTAGGGGTTAGGGTTCTCGAGTTTAGGGTTCTAGGGTTTAGGGCTTAGGCCCACGGTTTAGGGTTCACGGTTTAGGGATTAGGGGTTGGGGTTCTAGTGTTTAGGGTATGTAAGGTTGTTATGTAGTTTGGTTTTGCAAAAGGTGCACTGCATGTGGCCCACTCTTATCCGTAACAAATCGTACTGCCGGGTCTTGGTGGCTCTGTGTGCCAGAAGCCCGACAACTGAGGCTCAACATAAACCATAGAACCTGACTGAGGACGGGAGGTGGCTCAAAGTTTCAGTCTTAAGTCGTAGAAGGCTTCGTTAAGTCCTCCCTGAACGCTAACCCTAAAATTCCGTCAGCTTGAATCCCCGAACCACCAAATTCTGCAACTCCCTTGAGGCCAAATCCAAAGTTTTCTCCATCTAAGAGATCTTGATCCCTCAGGTTTTGAGGCCTCTTTCAAAAACTGTCAGGAAGCAGGAAGGCACCATAAACATGCCATAAAAGGACCACGAATCTAAAGCAAGCACTGAAACCTAAAACAAATGCCGGCAGGGTGGACGACGGGCCACCCTCGTCCACTTGGCCAAACGTCTGCGTGGAGTCACGACTACCACGGCAGAGGCGCATTCTCAAAATTAGGGCTCCATTAAGGGTCCTGTCTACAAGGGTTCCGTATTATTTGGGGGACCCAAAGAGTGACCTAAAATTAGGGAACTGCCCCTTTAGGCCCATGGGCAACCAGTCTTGGGTTTCGGAAGTATAGCTGAATCAGCCTCAGAGGTTGCAGAGGAATACTGCTACGGTTGATAATAGAAATCCTGCATTACCTTAATGGCCCTAGACTGTGGGAATTACGGTATATTCCTTATTATGGGTAATGCAGGAGTTATATCACCAACAGTAGTATTTATTCAGGGTCATATAGTGGCATCCTTGGTGTCGACAGGTGTTGGGTCAGAGTCTCGATCATAGCCTAAACCCGAACAACCCTTTCCCTAAACCCTGGTGACCCATGATCAAACCCTGGAAAAGCCGAAACACTACTTACAAGGGTTTGGTTTGCATTTCAGGGATCCATAAGGGTTCTGTAAGGGTTTAGGGTAGTGGATGGGTAGTGGATGCTTAAGCTTCTAGGTTCCGCTGTTGCGAGGTGGCACTTTAATTCGACCCTAAACCCTAAACCCTAAATAGACCGAGACTCCAAGCCCGAAGCCCAAACCCTACATTCACTACCCTCAGCTCTACCTATGGTCTTCATTGTAGTCCCTTTTCTTGGTTAAACCAACTATCTATTACAGTAAGGATCCTAAAAGGTAACCCCAAAAAGGAACTACAATGGAGACTACAGGCACCCTACTTATAACCCTACTTTTAACGACCCTCAACCCTTATCCCTAAACCCAACAACCCTATAGATCCCTTTGAAGGAACCCTACTTCTAACCCTGCTTGAACCTCCCAGTAAACTCAAAGGGGAAAAGGAGGGACCCTTAATGGGGACCCCTACCCTATAATGGGCTATATAATGGGTATATAATAGCTGAATTAAGGGTATATACCTAGTGGTCCTTATTAAGGGTCCCTCCTTTTACCCGTGGATAAACCTTTCAGCAAACCGGACGAGAGGAGCTCTCTGCTCCTTTCGCGGGTC